CTGTATAAATTGAAAAGAGAGCTGTGGAGGGGGCTTAGATTTGATACTGCAAAGGGCAAATAAGTGGTGTTTGCAAATATGTGGGAAAAGCAATCTGCTTATAGAACTTGTTTTTGCTATTTTCCATGCTGAAGAAAAATAAGAGGAAATATACTTTCTGATTAAATAAAAAGATGATTTTACCCTTTTGAATAGGAAGCATTATTCTCTCTATGACTTTTAAAAATACTCATTTTTGACAAGATATTCCAGTGTTATGTTACTGTCATGTTCATGAGCAGCAAGGGCCATTTTGTAGTTTATCTCCTCTTGCTCAGTATCTGTGAGAAAGCAATTTAAATTTTTCTGTTGTCTGAAGCTAGGGAAGAAAATCTGTCAAATGCAAAATCTGTGTATGCCAACAGTCTAATTAGCAGAACCATTCTTTGAGTAGGATTTCTTTTGAATGGATGACATTGTGTAAGATGTCTGTGGTGTGCCTGGCTTGAAAGTCAAACATCTAGCATTTAATATTGAGACAGCTGTAATTGCTATTGTGTTACACAAGAGTTTGGAAATTCTTTTTGGGAAAATGAAGCCTGGGTCAGATTTCTGACTTAGGATCTCAGTAGTGGCTGACTTGCACTGCTGGATGCGGTGGCAGATATCTCCACTGCTTGTCAAACTTGGTATTTGGAACAGATAATTTCAGTAGAACCTCTCTGTGTGTTTGTAGGACTTAACCCAAATCCACAGAGGATTATCAGTTTTAAGCTGTTTCTGCTAAGATTTGAGTGGAATTGTAACATATTATTTTCTTCTATAATGTAGCAATATTACTGCACATATAGTACTAATAAACTACTATTAACCATAATATATGAATGCAGATTCATGTTCATGTACTGTTACTTTTATATACCGATGTAAATATATAATTAATATATCTGTAAGATACGTAAGGGAGCTGTTTTGATGGACAGAGGCATTGAGACACCTGAACTGTAGGGAGGTGTATAGTTCTAAAATTTCTATCCATCCACTGTCTTAAAGCATGAAAAATTTTCATAAGTAAGAGAGGATATTAATTTTATATACCTTATTCAAAATGAGTTGAAAATCTGGTTTAAGGTCTGTTCTGCAGGCAAGCAGCTGTGTCAGTTACAAAACACAAGAGACTGCCTTTTGTGTGTGTCATGGTAATTACAGTCAAGCAAAAACCTGGAAATTCTTGCTGTGCTAATTAGAATGTGGAGTTATGCTTAAAAAAATCAGGTACTTTGAAATCCTGAATGCATTGTCCTGCTAGACATCCACGTGTTACCCAGCCATTATTGTTGCTGTCAGTCTCCTCATCACATTGGCTGTCCTCTGGCAAGCTCTGTCCCATCGTGCTTCGCTGGGCACCCTGATGTTGTTTCCACAAGTTGTCAGGTCACATTTGGAGGTCTCTGCAGAGAGGTCCAGTCCTGGTTGGTGTTTCTGCTGCAGTTTTCCCTTTGATATATGGTATGCAGTCAAGGGAAAACTCACTTGCAGTTATTTTCCTCCAGACTGCCTTTATCTGGGAAATCATGATGATTTATTCAGCATTTTTTCTTACAAATCAGATTGTCTGGGGTTGATGGAGGAGGGTAATATACCAATAAGAGCTGTGGAGTCATATGCAGTGGAAATGGATGCTGGTCAAGAGAGGCACTTAAATGTCTCTTCCATTACCTGCACTGCAGTTCCTGCTGACTGTCCTGACTGTCCCAACAAAATTCTTTAGGTTATTCATGTGTTTCAGAAGTAACCAACATATTGCTGAAAGCTTTGGTCTTGCCAAGATGTCAGAACAACACTAAGGTCTCCTAAATGCTAAAATACAAGTACCTGGAGAAATGTGCCAAAGTCCTTTGAGTTTTTGAGCAACAAAGTTTACTAGGGTGTGTGAGGATTAAGCTTGGTGCTTATGCACTTCTGCACAGTTTTCTTACAACTGTTTCTCAGTTACAAGTATGTTCCAAGTATCAGCATATTAATTTTCAGTGAATTGGCATTGGTTAAGTGATGAAAGTGGGATTTGTAACCAGATTTATTACTGCTTCTTCAATATAAAATAATTATTCTTAAATTGGGACTTACCTTTGGACAGAGGAATACATAATACGTGCATGTTAGGAACTCTAGCAGGACTTGAACCCGTGTGAGTTCAGGGGCTGATTAGGAGAATGATTTCCAGACAGCAGAGAGAGAAACATCAGTAACCTTTCCACTCCTAGCAGGGTTACCAAGGTAGCATTCAAATCCTCAGTAGGTCTTGCTATTATGGGGGCAGATTTTCAGAGGTTCTTAACCCAGCTTCTAATTTAGTGCTGCTACTTTAAGCCCACAGTGTGCCCAGGCAAACTAGGCTAATGTGGGTATGTACAAACTTGGGGCAGCTTCCACCTGAGCTGTTCTTTGGGGAAGAGACAGGCAACTTTGACAGTAACTTCTGCCTTGTGCAGCTTCTCTGTTTGGACACCTTTTAATTAAAATCTTAGGAGTTCAAGCAGTCATGATTGCATTTGGCACAGAGCTCTCCCTGCTGTGTGCTGCTGTGGTATTTTAGCTTTGCATCAATGTCCAGCACCTTCCCTCCTCTGCATTTTCTTCAGGTGTCTTGGACTGGCTGACCTCGGACTTGTGGGACACACATTCTGACATGAGAACACAAATATTTAAAACAAATCTGGTACTATTTAGTATGGCAGTGAGAAGTAATATACATGCTGCTGCTTTTGACATATTTGAGGGTTTTTAAAGGTTTTTCAGCTTCTTGTGGCTTTTTTTTTTTTTTTTTTTTTTTTTGTGCGCTACACCCAGGAGAAAGCAAAGCAGCTGCTCTCAGGTTCTGTCTGAATGCTGAAGGGAATTACACCTGGGAGACTGCAAGGGAAGTGCAACAGCAGAATGGGCAACTGTGCTCTCACCTCAGTGCCAGCTGTGTTTTGTGGTGAGACAGTCTGAGTTTGTTTTTAGAAACTTTGGCTTCACAGGCACTGTTTTAAAGAACATCTGTCTACAGAGGCTGAATTGAGCATCCTTTCACTGGGCCTCCCAACACTTCTGTCAGCAGAGGTGCAGTGATACCTAACACACAGGGGGTGCCACAGTCAGGGAGGCTTTGAAAGACTTGGATGTACATGGAAACTGGGAATTTTGCCATGAAAATGTCAGAACACATGTTGCATGTATCCATGTTCTACAGTGGTGCATGTTTAATGGGCAAACCCAATACAGCTTCTCTTTCAGGAAGCTGTTCACTTCTGTAATTTGCTGTTTGATAAATTAGATATTGGGTTTTGCTGTAGGCACTGTTTTTTTTATATGTGCTACTGTAAAACTTATATTATATTCCCTAGAACATTAGATTCTGGGTACAGGATATAATTATATAGAAATTAATTTGACTTTAACAAGTAACTGTCAATATACATTTTGTTGCTCTTTAGAGAAACAAAAAAAGGCCATGTACTCACTCACAGGTTTAAAATACAGATAAATTAATACAATTTTACAAGGTGAACTCAAGACAGCCTCAGTGATTATCCTGGGTGACTGCTGATTTTTTCTGTTAAGAGAATTTTCTGGGTAAAAATAGATGTACTCAAAGGTCATGATGGATTAAGTCTCAGGAATCTAAACTAAGAAACTTCTGTCTGACTTTGCCAGTCACAACACCAAGGAGTTTTCTTTACAAGAGCCCACGAGCTGCTTGTTCACAGATGGCAGGCCCTGGTGTGCTGTGCTGAACTTGCCACGTGCCAGCAGACAGGAACTCCTGAGTGTGGAAAGCTGAGGCTGCAGGAGGTGCTTCTGTGGGAGTGAAGGGAGATGTCTGTGCATGCACACCTCACACAAAGGGACAGAATTTAGTTGGAATAGGGATGGTTTTTGTAGAAGGATGTCACGCTGCAATAGAGAGGGAGAATGAGTACAGCAGTTCAGCCTAAGTGAACTTCCAGGAAGAACAGGCTTCCTTAGCATTGTCTACAAGATTAGATATTTTGGCAGCACTTTCTACTTCAATATATACTTAAATACTAAGGTCTTTGTTTTATTAATCAGCTTTAAATTAAAACTGGTAGTTTTAGATGTTCCTTTTAGCATGTTGTTTCAATTCCCATAGAGCTGTTTTGAAAATAAATGCTTGCCTGTATGTTTTCATGTATGTATAAATAATAAATCAACACTGAAATCAAGTATTAACACCGTCAACTTTAGAAACTCTTCACATCCATTATTAAGCTTGTGGCTAAGTCATGCTGTCAGTGTAGATGACAGCTTTGGCCTGGGCCACATTTCAGGCTGGAGCACAGTGCAGTGCCAGTGCAGTTCTGTTAGGAGCTTTGCTATTTCATGATTTAATTTAATAATGGTAAAAGTATAATAAATATTTTTTCCTCAATTTTTAAGAATCTTATGCTGTTGATTTTTGGAAAATTTTGAAGTTCCGTTTTGTGGTGGTTTGTTCTTCTGGATTTTGATTGGTATTTAATAATATTTCAACTTAAATAGGAGTGAAAACTATGTTAGGATTTCAGTGAACTTCATAGAAGGGCAAATCATTGGTTAGAGTAGATTAGAATTTTTTGGCAACAAGTATTTAACTTTCAAAATTCAGAGTTGCTGTAACTTTGCATAAACAAAACATTTGATGCTTTTTTTTTTTCCTTCTTCAGAAAGAGAAAACACTTTTTAGAAAAAAGGTATTTAAAGTTTGAAAATTTAAGAATGTATGATGTTTCCTAGGAATAGATCTCAGAAGAATGTGATGTGTGTGGCCCCAGTGTTGCAGTGCTTGTGCTGGTTATTTCTTCCCCGCATTGTTCCTGGGTGCTGTTCATTCCAGAAGAACTTCAGACTCCAGGTGTTTCTGGACTGTGTGCCAGCAGTATTGCAGGAGATGCACACTCAGGTCCTGGTAGTTTCCTGTTACTCTCAGTGCCATGAAGGAGCTGTCTAATGATTTCTCCTTTTGCTGTGCCCCTTAGGGAAGGACTGGTACCTGGTGCATGTGTCACTTACTGTGACAGACGTGAATGACAACGTCCCCGAGTGGGCCATGGAGCCCTTCCCCTTCCTGGCTGTGGTTTCCCCCGAGGCTGCAGGAGGCACTGAGGTGTACAAGCTGCTTGCTGTGGATGCAGATGAAGGGATCCATGGAACTGTGGAATATTTTCTCTTGGAAGGTAGATTTTAACCCTCCCATTCCCTGAGTATTGTGCTCTATTGTGACCTTTTTATCCTCAGTTTAATTTTCCCTTCCTCCTGCAAGAGGTCCATAAACCTTCACCTCTGTGTGTGAGAAAAATCAGCTTTTATTGATGCATGCATAGATTTCTTTGCAAAGTTGAGTTCTCACCAAAATATATCCCTGGGTATGATGGGGAGAGGAGCAGTCAGTAATCTAAGGCTTTGGCAAGGGATGCCAATGGGGATTGTATTTATGAGAGTCTGTGGAGGAGTAGTTTATTGGGTGGAGGGGAGGGTTAATGTTCCTGTTCCTTGTAGGAGTCATGCTTCTGGTTCATATGTAAAGAACTTGTAAAAGTCTGGGTTGTGCAAAGCTTGTACAAACTCAGTGGTAATATCTTGTGTGTCTCCTTTTAAGAAATTTTAGTAATAATTCAAAAGTGTCTGAGCAGATGAGGAGCAGCAATACCTCTCCAGTGGAGTATTTTCTGGTAAGGGATACTTAGGGTCAAGCAACAGCAAAGTTTTGGAGGATAAAAGATGGAGAGAGACTATTCAGAAGAGCCTGGAGTGACAGAACAAGGGGGAATGGCTTAAACTGACAGAGAGTAGGTTTAGGTGGAATAGTGGGAAGAAATTCCTCCCTGTGAGGGGGGGGATGCCCAGCCACAGCAGCTGTGGCTGCCCCTGGATCCCTGAAAGAGTCCAAGGCCAGGCTGGACAGGGCTTGGAGCAGGCTGGTCTTGTAGGAGGTGCCCCTGCCCATGGCAGGGGGTAGAATGAGATGGACTTTCAGGTCCCTCCCAATCCAAACTATTTTATAATTCAGTGATAAAGAAGAGTGATAATTGTCCAGAGAGTGAAATAGAATTTTGAAGTGCAGTCATAAATGATGAATGAATGTAATGACTGATTTCCAAGTTCTAAACAAATTTTTGAATTTTAGTGTGCATGCTGATCCTAAGCCAAAGCCAACTTGGGAATTCACACTGTATTCTCCTCCTAGTTTTAATCAAACAAAAATGTTCTCATAGATGACAATTTGTGAACATGTTCCTTTCAGGTGGCGAAGACAGATTTGAAGTTGAGAAGGACACTGGCTGGATTAAAACAACAGGTTTGCCACTGGTGAGGGACAAGGAGTATTTGCTGACTGTACTAGCAGCAGACAAGCTTGGCAGCAGAGGGTCCCCAGCCTCTGTGTCTGTAATTGCTGGATTTCGGCCGCCACAGTTCTCCAACATCTCGTACTCTGTGTACGTTCCTGAGAGCACCCTGCCAGGAGAAGTGTAAGTAACAGCTCACAGCAGGGCAGGGAGCTTGTGTCCTGCTTTGGACTTCTCTCTGATCTCCCCAGAGCCTTGGTATTGTTTGTGAATCATAGATAAATACTGTGAGAAGCAATCCAGGTCTCTTAATAGAAGTGATCCCAACGCAGTTTGGTGTTGTATTGTTTTAGTCACCCTTTTACAGGGAGAGGTGCTACTGAATAGTTGTGCTTTCTTACTTTTTGAAATTATATGGAAAGGATTAGATGTTGATTGTTTTTTAACTTTCAAACAAAATGCAGAATAGAAATTAGTACTGTTACATCATGAAGATATCCTGTGTGAAAGAACACATTAACTTTACGTGTCAAATTTGGAGAAATGCCTTCACTCCCAAGAGAAAATTGGAAAAACCAAGATTCTTTTTCCTGTCTTCATCACAATGACAAACTGAGCTAAAATGAAGATGCCACAGAACTTGTTATTTTATTTCTCCATCCTTTGTATCTCCATGTCAATTGAAATATCACAGAAAATGTTAGTAACATACGTCCATCTGATTACTCAGTCCCTTCTTTTCCAAACTGTTTTTTTCTTACAACAAACATTTTCTCTTGCACTTGAATCGAGAATACTTTTGTCCAGGCAATATGTTCCTTCTGTGGCAGTTCAAATATTATTAATATTATATTATCTGTGGTGCTAATATTCAGTCTGGAGCGTTCAGTTTTACAGTGTCCAAATAACCAAGGACTGTTAAGATTTAAAACAAAATCTTAGTAGAGAACAAGGTTTTTTATTTAAAGCTGCAATAAAATTAAATTGCACAGGCATAAAAGAAATGGAATAACTGCAAAATACTATAATGTCCAACAGGTACTTGCTGTATTGGATTCAATAATCTTTAGAATTAAAAATAAAATTATTCATAACTTTTTTATCACTATTAGAAGTAGGTTTGTACACCTTAGATGATAGTAGATTAATCAGCTGATCAAATGACTTGGCAATATCCAAAAAGAATGAAGTATTTTGTGTGGTTATTGCATCTACAAAGGTTTGAATATACACAATGAAAGTGTGAAAGTTGTTTGTTGTAATGTGTTGTCCAGAAATAGCCATGAAAATCCATTTGGAATCCTAAAATTCTCTTATTTAAATTGGGCCAATTACTCAAGTATGAAGGTGTAGTGGTTTTAGTTTGCCAAACCAGAACAGAGTTGCTGTCATGCACTGAACTTCTGGGTTTAGGATTTCCTAATTAGAGCCTGATTTAAGGCTCCTGCTGAGCAGAGGATCATTACCAAATCTTTCCCTTCCTTTGGTCTGCCTGTCACACCACTGAGCTACAGCTGCACAGGCAGCCTGAGCTGAGCAGGTACAAAGATAAAAAAGTTTTCAGTTGGGTTGTTAAATCTGCTCCCAGCATGGCCTTGAGATTTTCAGTGCTGGCAGGAGAGGAGAGGTGGCTTGAACATCTAGCTAGGGCAGGGAGCTGGAAGGAGAGCAAAATAATTCCTGTGGGCAGGAATGCAGTCATGCACCCGCTGAAACTGCCTGTGAGACCTCAGCACAGGAAAATAGGGGAGAAAACTGAAGAGAGATGATGACCCACAGCAGTGCTGTCCATTGGTTCAGCAGTGCACCAGGGGGAAGTGAGGCACAGCAGCATGGCAGTGCAGGGGGGAAAAAGGAGTTTGCACAAAATGAGTTTGTGTGGTTTTGACTGTAATTACCACAGGATCATGTTGGTGTGTGTGTTCTTCTGGGAGATGGAATTGTTTTTCCTAAGAAACTTGCATGTTAAAGCAAAAGAACTTGAGGAGTTAATTTTCTGGTTTAAATATTTTAAAAATATTTAGTTTTAAATTTCTTCTTTTAGTTCTTATTGTGGGTGTTTCCACTTGAAGGCTTTAAATTCATTGCACTGCAGTGGAAAAAAGATAGTGTCAGATGAGCTAAAAATATATGTCCAGTGTAAGCTGTAACACACACTGCTGTTAGGGCCTGGCTTTTATCCTTTTGCTGTTATCTATTGGAACTTTAGGATGGTATGACTGCAGCAAACTTACTGTGCTGTTATTAAAACAAATCTTTTTCATCTTGCTTTATCTTTTAGTTTCCTGCCTGAAAACCATCACTACCACAGAAGGAAGTTGAAGTAGGCAAATTCAGTTGCATCAAAATTTAAATCCTCTGTTCCTGCATTTTTAATCCTTACTGTGTTCTGCTTCCAAGAATCTTTATCTGTTTAACCCCAAGGTGATAGAAGCTCTGTGTAACAAAATGCTTGAATTTGGTGTTTAGATACAGCTGTCACTGACTTCATTGAGGATACCTCTGAGCAAACCTGCAGGGTTGCACCATCACTACTGATATGCATTGCTTTTGTCATATTTTTCAGAATGTTGTGTTATGTCCTTGAGTCCTCTCTTTTTATTTCTTTTAATGCAGCTTTCTTACAGTCACTGCTGTGTCCTATCAAAAGCAATCCCTGAGCTACAGTTTGCTCACTAATCCTGGGGGTCTGTTCAGCATTGATGGGGCGACAGGAGAGCTCAGTCTAACTCGGAGTGTGGATTATGAAGGAGACCCCCACCAGTTCCTCCTTTTGGTCAGGGCAGAGGAGAGTGAGGAGCAGTTCAGCACTGCTGCTGAGGTAGGTGTTCCCCTCCAGCAGCCTGGCTGCAGTTCCACTTTCCTTCATCCTTTGGAATCTGGACAGATCCACCAGGAGCTCCCATTTCCCCATGCTGGCTGTTCTGCTGTCCGTTTCAAAAGTCTTTCTGTCTCTGGGGAGATGTTGAGGAGTGGTTTAGGTGCTCTTGGATTTCACTCTTGCAGATGCTCTAAAAGCTGTTTCTGAGGGATCAGTATGCCATCCCATCATGGATACAAATCTTACCTGGTAACACATGGAAATGGGTGTGGCCAAGAGTTTTTGCCTTACTCTGCTTTAATCAAGCATGAGGTACATTTGTGATTATTCCACTCTAAAGCAAAGGCAGGACTAAGAATTACTTGTTTTGTATCAAGAACACGAAGTGAACTCGTAAAACAAGAAAGTAATAAAAATTCACTGATATTAAAAGCTGATGGTTTGTGGTATTTTAGAAAGCTGTTTGACAGCAAAAATATTTCTTAATATAGTTATTACAGTTATTTGAATTCAGAGATTCACTGAGCTAGGAAAAGCATACTATATGAGTTTGTTCCTGCTGCAGGAAATAAGAGAGGGAGCTGGAGACAGAATTATTAGGATCAAGTGTGAGGACACAGAGAGACAGGAAGCAGTGTGCCAGTGTAGCAAACACTGGCTGTAGCACACCAGGGCCTGATAGTTTCAGCTGACCCTTGTATACTACAAGATGAAGAATGGTAAAATATGACTCAAAAGAGGATTATGAGATGATTTTACAAATATATTTAGCCTAGAGGTAGTTTAACTTGCACCTGCTTTGGACTGATAGAACCTCAATAGTTGAGAGAGCAGCTCTAGCTCATGCATGGCTGCTCTGCAGGGCTCATGGAATACAGCTCTGCTTGGTGCTCTGTAATGCAGAATGCCTCCAATGACTGCATAAAGTGCAGTATGAGCCACTAGAAAAGCTCCTTTACACACCCCTTACTGTTGGGAGTGTAAACTGTGGACTCATATTTGACACAGGAATAAGAAAGCATTTGTAAAGATGTTAGAGGCAAAATTGTATCTCTTACTTGGTTTTCCAGAACCATAGAATATCCAGAGTTGGAAGGGACCCACAAGGATTGAGTCCAGCTCCTGGCCCTGCACAGACACCCCAACAATCCCACCCTGTGCCTCAGAGCATTGTCCAAGCACTCCTTGAGCCCTGCCAGGCTTGGGGCTCTGATCACTTCCCTGGAGATCAGTTCCACTTATATCTGATTTGTGCTGCTGTAATTAAATTCAGAACTTGGCCTTAGAGATTTATAATGCTAAAATGTAATATGCTTGGCAGTAGAGTTTTTAGTGTTACAAATCACAGAAGTGTTGCAAGATAAGATAATGGAAAAAGGGTGCTTGGCAAGCAGATGGTGCATTTTCCTTTAAACTAGTAATAAGGAATAATCAATGGAGATGAAGGGTGAGTGGAAAACATTGCTGCAGGGTCAGGGACTTGGCAATTGCTAGTATCTTGGAATGTAATATTTCAGTGGCACTCAGCAGAAAAAGAGCAATCTAAGAAAAATGTCTTATCCTATAGCTGCTGAAGACTTCAAGGATATTTTTGGGGAAATTCTTCCATGTGGTATTTCCAGAGCAGTGAGGCTGTTCCCTTGATTCACTTTGCTGTTTAACATTCCCCTCTTCCCCATTAAGGTTTTGGTTGTAATCACAGATGTGAATGACTGTGCCCCCGAATTTCATCAGTCGATTTACAGCAAAGTTGGTGTTCCTGAAACAGTTCCTATGACAACTGCACTTCTCCAAGGTTAGTGCTCCTGGAGCCATTTATTGTGTTCACTGCATTTTTCTCCCTTGCACCACTTAGAATTCAGTTCAGAAAGCAAAATTACTTGTCCCAGCGTGGGTTGTTGCAGCTCTCTGAAGGCAAATGACACCTTGTAGATTCATGTCAGAGTTATTTACTGGTGCCACAGCCCAAGCAATTCTGGGGGACAGGAATGCAAAGGAAACAGATTTTCTTTGTGGAATTTTGAAGTAACAGAACTTTGTTGTGGTTGGTATTATGGCAGCAGGCACATAGTAGCAGTCTTGCTGCCTTTCTTGGAGGAAGAGAGTGATCCTGGAGTTATGGACACCTCAGCTCTCCTCCTCTGCCTGTCTCTGAGAGTCCTGTGTGGGCTTGCTGTAGGAGTTCTGCTCTTTTACATCAACAGCCTCTTGCACACTTTAACTGTTCTGTGTGAGGTTTTGTTTGGATGCCTGACAAGAATTTGCTTCTTCCCAGGGAGACCAAGAACTTGAGCTTCAAGTAGTGGTGCTCTGTAGAGTGTAGCAAGAAAACAAATTTGTGTCTATTAAGCAGATGTACAAGGGCCTTGTATTAGTTTTATACCCTTACATAAACTTTCTCTAAACTTGAGGGGGGAAAAGGAAATTCAACTGCTGGAAAATTGCTTTTCCCTAGTAAACAGGCTTTTATAACCTCCTATTGTTCTGCTTAGTGATTTATCCTGGACTAATGGTAGTTTATTAGTCACTAGTCTGGTTGCTGTGCTTTTAGCATAGATTTTTGTAGGTTATGAATAGAATCTGACAAACACATGATGGGCATCAGTTGAATAATATATGTAAATGTCCCATCTTTAATTTCCCAGTGTATGATCTGAGTGATTTTGAGTCAGCAGTGTAGGTCAGGTGGACATGAGAATATACTTCTGTATGTGAGAATATATTCTTGCTGGTACAGGACTCTTTACCAAAGTCAAGGTCTAGTATCTAAATTCTCCCAGGGACTTAACTTTTGGTTTTTTAAATTACCTATTTTTGAGTAAGGGTGAGTTCACTAAAAAGCATAAGGGACAGCAGAGTTCTTGACTGATTTCACACACCACATGGCAAGGCAAATCCTGTCACAGTACTGGTAAATGCACTTACCATTCCAATTCACTAACTTTGATCTACTCAATGTCTCTCTCTTCTCTTCTGCCAGTGACAGCCACTGACTGTGACTCCAAGGAGAATGCCCAGCTGCTGTATTACACTCTGAGCCAAGATTTCAGCATTACCTCTCACGGCACTGTTTTCCCAGCCACAAGGTTGGACTATGAGCGCCCCAACCACCTCTATGAGTTCATCATTATGGCTGTGGATCAGGGGGAAGAGCCCAGGACTGGCACAGCAACTGTTAGGATCCATGTCTCCAATGTGAATGATGAAGCACCTGAGTTTTCTCAGACTATGTAAATACATATTCTTCAGACTCTGTTATCTTTTACTGTTGCTTTTTGTGTTTTGGTTGCATGGCTGATCACAGAATGGCAATTGGCTTTGGTTCAATCAAAGCTGAGAGCTGGTCTGACAATTGTGGGGTGATATTATGACTCTGAAACTTGCAACAAAAAAAAAGGTAGTATATAAACAATATATCTTATTACATTTTTATTTATTATTATTATATCTCTTTAATGCACTTTTATTTTTTCCAGTGTGTACTGAAAGATATGGTGCAATCATTTCAGATTATACAGTTCAGGAGCGCCCCTCCACCACCAAAGGAAATCAGGCAGAAAAAACAGGCAACAGAGTTGTTGCCATCAGCCCTCATCTAGAGACATGGGGGAATTCTGCCTTTTAATTAGGCAGTTTAAACTTAGAGTCAGCAGTCTGCATCCCTGGTTTATAGCTGTCAAAGAAAAATGCTTAGATGACACAATCCTAAATGGCAACTGAATTACAAAACCCACAAGTGCCATTAAGTGGAGTTCACTTAATTTCACTTTCCATCCCCTACAAATCGTATGTATATGTTTTTTTTTCTTCTAAATACTTGTAAGCACTTTGCTTCCATAGCTGGGACTCAGCAGCATCCAAAGCAATGCCAGAAGTGCTAAAAACTTGCACTGAGGCTTAGCAATGGAATTTCCAGTCAGTTTCTGCACCAACCTCTACTCTTAAAAGTAGAAGTTGCCCAGAACAAAACCAAAGCAAAGATTTCAGTGATGTTAAGCTTGGGGTTTAGCTGAACAAAACATCAAAGCTTTCTGACAGACCTTGTTTTATGTACAGATAACCTCTGGCTTCAAAATCTTGTGCCTTTCTTTCTTTTCTAAACAGTGCTGAAGAGATATGACTTGGAAAATTTGATCTTTTGGAATTTATTATTGGATTTATCTATATTTTCAAATAAACCAAGTTATGTTTCTCACTCTTCCTATTTTTCATCATTTAATTTCTTTTACTATTCAGAGATATTGAATATTTATCTGCATCTGTTCCTAATATTTTAATCAGAAGCCAGTGATACTGTTTAAAATGCTGTAAACATCTCTAACAAATTGGAAACTGAAAACATAGTTTAAAAAAAATCCCTGCCAGCTCTTGTACTTAATGTTTACTGAAGAATATGATTAAAATTAATATTATTTGAAATTACCAAACCTTCACAAGAAGCTTTTCTGTTCTCTGTGCAGTAGCAGGGAAACTACTGTTGTGTGTATGTGTAGATAGGCACTGGAATTGAATTCATCTCCTGGAATACAAATTATCTCAAGGTTTTGGTTACCTAGGCTTTGATTTTTCTTTATCTTTCCTGTTATGAAAAAATCCTCAACCCAGAGGTAAATTTCAGACAGAATTTAGTTGAAATTTTCCATGAAATGGAATCATTGTGAACACATGTAAATTGGGGCCTGTTGAGAGACTGTTTGCAGTTAATGCTGTGCTCTGTGGCAGGCTAATACAAATCTAGGAGATGATGTTGTCCTTCTAGCCCTTTGTTCAAACAGATTTACAGCCCAGTATGAACTCATGATTCCTTGCCATGAGCTCTCTTTCATCACAGTTATTCTTTAGCTCAGTTAGGAAATGCTTAAGGCTACCACTCTCTTTCATGCTGTCAGTTTTTACTTTCTGTTTTTTAAGAGATCTCTTCGGAACTCCACTCTCCCTGCATTTCATGTAAAAAATTATCAGTATTATTGTTCATTTGCTATTAAGATGCACAGTTAAGACAGTGTCTCGAGGTTTGTGACTGAGCTCAACCAGAATGATTTACTTCTCTTACTCCATTGCATATAAAACTGAGGGAAGAAAAGAAGCTGTTTCTATGGAGGTTTCATAGGAAACACACAAATCTCTACAACAAAAGTGAAGGAAGAGGTTTCCTGTGCATCCATTTTCTTTTCCTTTCAATTTTTTGCTGTTCTCAGCATCTGGCCAGTGTGTCCATGAGCACTAACCCAGTGGTGCATCTGTGTTCTGGTGGATCCAGCCAGCTGCAGTTCCTCTTACAGCTGAGCTTTGGGATATCTCCTGTGGGCAGCCCTGGTGGGTGCTTAGTCTGCCACTGCTCAATGCAGGCAGATAAAATAATAAATATTTGGGACTTTGCTAAAGCAGGGGGCTTTTCTACTCCAGAGAGCATTAAGCTTAGGCTGATAATGCCTCTTAAGAGCTTACAATGTCAGTGATGTGTCTGGACTTGAGCAGAGATTTTTATAAAACTGACATTATGCACATATCCTCCACATCTCCCTCTCATCTTAGTCCTGCTGGGGCAAGGACTGCACTGAAAGTCTTTTGAGGGCTTCTGTCAAAAAGTGCTGTGATTGGAACTGCTTTAACTTAGCAAATGTTAGCTTGGAGTCTGTGCATCAGGAAGCTCAATTTTTAAACTAAAAAAAACCAAGTGAATTCTTCATTTAGTACAAGTCTTGTTGCACAGCTCATCTTCAAGGCCGTTGAAAGTTTGGAGGGAAATGTGGGGGTAACAACAGAAGGATGTGGATGGCTGGATAGATCATCAATGCTATCATTTCACTGATTAACAAAAAAGCATCATGTCAGTATAATTGTATTAGAAAATTACAAATTTCTTCAGTGCCCTTTGAACAACTAGGTGTTGTAAAGCTTAGTTCTGTATATATTCCTGGTTAAATTAATGAGTGTGCTGTTGTCTGGGTTTTTTAACAGCTACAGGAGCTTTGTTTCTGAAGATGCAGGCCCAAACACACTGATTGCCACAGTTAATGCTGTTGATCCTGATGGAGATGGTGTGACATATGATATTCTGTCTGGGAATGAGAGAGGGAACTTTGTTATTGACCCTAAGAAAGGTAATTGTGTGTTAGCTCTTTGCTGCTGTGGTCATAATGTTGGTTCTGTTGTGATGCACCTTGAATTTGGTCTTATTATCTGGATAAACTAAATAACATATGCTGTCTTTGAAGCTTAATTTTAAAAAGTGCAAGGGAAAGAATGCATATACTCTCTTATAATGATAAAAAATTGTATAATTTCCTCAAATCTGTGTATAATTGACCTCTCTTACCTGTTTAGTGTTTGCTTTCAGTCAGTAACTTAATAGAGGGCATTATTATAGATAACAGGTCACTTAAGAAACAGTAAATTAATAGAGAATGTTATTATTGATAACAGGATGACATTCCAAAATGTCAGACAGATATCTGAATAGAATTTAATATAAGAAACTGGTCATCTGGGATTTTAAATGAGGCTTTTCCCACCCCGTGCTTGTGTCAATGTCCTGATTATGCTGGTGAGAGCAAACATTTCTTGGCTGAACTTATCTATGTTGTGCTGACACAAAATGAAGTGTTTGTAGGTGGAATGAAGTGTCTGTAGGTGGAATGAGACTACCACTGTTTTATTTCAGTGAAGTTAAAAGTACATAAAATCTGAACTAATGAAGTATATTTTTCATTTAAGATTAATCAATCACCTGTGTTGTTTAGCCAAGAATACTGCATGCATGAGAAAAAAAGATGTGTGGAGAAATACTTTGAGATTTAAGGCACTTCTTCTGAAATGCCAGTGCTTACATCATTTTAGTTATTTTCAGTAGTCACATATTTTCAAAACATGAGAAGAAAAAGGTTCCCACCACATTGGTGTCCTCATTAGGAAAAAAAAGTAAATAAAATAAGTGCACAAACACCAACATCTGAGTAGGTTGGCATATCCCTTTAAATTAATAGGATTTATTTGCTGTTGATTGCTTGTAAAAACAGAAGAGGATGTTTTGAGATTGAAACAGGCAAACAAATTGAAATCCCATTGAAGGATTGAAGTAACTTAATTAACTTTAGTTAAACTACTTTGTATTTTGAACTGCAATCAAAATCTGAACTTAGGTTTTCCAAAGCAGAAGCATTGAATACATAGGAAGGAGGAAGCTGCCCTTAGTTATTCCTTCACTTTTCTTCATAGAGTTCACTTAACATGAAATTTTAATTTCAATGCAATCATGGTTTTTGCAATATTAATGTTAAATTCTGAAACATTCCCAAAAATACGGTCTGCAGGTAACTTGCAAACATTGAATCATGACTCTGAGTTTACTGTGAGCTCCTTCACTTCCTTTCTGACTTACAAATAGAGTTGCAGGTTCCAAGAGTTAAATTTCTACAGATGCTTTGGCACCTGAAGAGGAAAAAAGGTTTTGAAAGTGTCTAAAAGCTAGAGCATTAATATACATGACACTTCTGAAGATCTTTTTTGTGAGAAACAGATTTTTTTGGTCAGAGCATTTAAACATTTGATTGATAGCATCTCTTGGGCAGTTTTAATATAGAAAATCATGTATAAGTACTTTTTTGCCAATTAATTCTATAGTATTTGAAACTTAACTTTGTTGTCATGTTCACTAGTGAGAAGGATAATGGGAATGGGTTAATGCAGCAAATCCCCACAACCTGTTGTTTTTACAGGGCTGGTTAGACTTCGTGCAAGCCCATTTCCTGAGCTGCAGGGGACAGAATATGTTCTGAATGTCACAGCTACTGATGATAATGCCTCTGGAGGGCCCCATCCTCTCACAAGTACTGCCCAGGTTGTTGTGAGAATTGATGATGTCAACAACAACAAACCTGTCTTTCAGAAGGTAAATATATGAGCCTCTGGCATTTGTACTGGACTGTGCAAAATGTTTTAGCGCTGTTGGTACTGCAGGTGTGCAGCAGGTGAGCTGCTCAGGAGGTGCTCTCCTTCCCTCTGGGTCCTGTCTTCTCCTCCTTTTCCATCCCTCCCTAAGGCTTTCAGGGTTTGTTCTGCTCCTGTGGCAGCACAGCTCCTGTGAGCTCCTGTCTGTTCCCTGAGCCACAGCTCATCCCTGGCATTTCAGAGGGTGAGGCCAAGTGAAACACTTCTGGAGATCCCATGTGAGTAGGAGTCCACAGGGATAGCTGTCTGTGCAGTGGGCTTGTTCCAGAACACCTCTCTAAATTACACAGGTTTCCTTTGCTGATTGTGTGTCTGCAACTAAAGAAAGAGAGAAGAATGAGAGTTTTATCTTAAACAGTGAAGAACTGTAAAAAATCAATGTTTCAATTTGGTTTCAGAATGTTAATTCACATTAAAGATCTGTTTTCTATATTCAGGTGTGGTGCTGATGGCTCAGATGTTGATGAGCAATGTAGCATATTTTGAAAAGTCAGCAACTATTCATGTCAGTCTTAGAAATTGTCAGTAGCCTCTCCTTGACAAAATTACTTTGCGTAGAAATCCCTTTTTGATCAAAACAATTCTGTGGTTTGGGCAAGTGTGTGCCCTCGTTTTTTATTAGACCTTTGCTAATATAGAAAAATATTTGCATTTAGAATCAACCTTAACTTTTTCTCCAAATATTTTCATTAGCTGGAAAGGCTCAGTGGCCTCATGTTTTGTGTTGTTTGTATAACCACAAAATAGCAAGGGAAATTTAAATTAATCATGGTAAGATAAAGCTTTAACAGCTAAGCATGGCAATGGGAGTGTAGCTAAATAATTCTTTTCCTCCTGCTAGCATATCTTTAAATCAAATGGCAAGGGAAATCCTTGATTTTTCTCTTTTTTAAATTGTTCTTTCTTTTCCTTCTCTCTCTTAGTGCCAGTATTATCGGGAACATGCTTCTGTCCTGGAAAATCAGCCTTCAGGGACTGTTGTTCTGCAGGTTGAAGCCACTGATGCTGATGAAGGGGTCAATGGAATAGTGAAATATGGCTTGATGCACAGAGATGGTGTCCTACCAGCATTTAGCATCCACCCTGACACAGGTAAAGCAAATGTCAGTGCTGGTAATGGCATAGAGAAACCAGCTGGGGACACTGTTGGGGAAAAGGCTTAGATAAAATCAGACTTCATGTTTTTCATTTAGTGGTTTGACTGCAGACCAAATACAAACTCTATTAACTGCATGAACAAGTCTTCCATGAAATTAAGTTTCATACATGTCCAGTACTGAACTAAAACTGATGTTTTCCTTGAAATGTGGCAGTTCTGCTTTGTGAAGTAACTTGTGTGCTTTTGTAACTGGATTTAAAAACCCAAACAAACCTATGTTATGTGTACATTACCTTGCAACATTGCTAATGGCATATAAGTGATTTATCCAAATGACAGCAGTCTTACAAACAGCAAAGGAATTAAATCTTAGAAGGCCAAAACTAAGTTCAGGCTGAATTTCTGGAGGATAAAAGATATGAAACATTTCTTTACCCTGTACTTACTGCTCTTCAAAATAAATAATTTTTTGAGAAACTCGTTCTCTTAGTTTGTACTTATCTCCATTTTCTAAACTTAAATTACACTTCCATTCTAATTCAAATTCCTCTCGTTTGTGGATGCAAATGTAACTAAAATTTGAGTCTGAAGTCTGTCTGAGCAGTAAAATGTCAGCTGTTGCAATTGTAAAATCTCAGGGTTGGATCCTTGAACCTGATGTTATAGGTGTACATAACCTACTGCATTGTATCCCAATGTATTGACAGAAAAAGAAACATCTGCATGAAGAATGTTGCCAGATGCATAGAATTTTAACTCTTTGATATTTAATTTGTTTTCAGGAGTTCTGACAACTGTTCAGGTATTTGATCGAGAAAAGCAGAGGGAATATCCCATCACTGTGACAGCAACAGATCAGGCAGCGGAGCCACTCATTGGGATATGTCAGATCAATATTGTCATCCTGGACCAAAATGACAATGACCCCAGATTTGAAAACACCCACTATGAATGTAATTGAGAATCATTGGATAGAGTTTCAGTGCCCTGAGTGTGAGCGTACCCCATGTCTCTGATTTTTGGGTTTTTGCCTATCCTGGCAGTAGAACGTGTGACAAATTTGGTGCATCCAGAGATGCACTTTGCTTATTTATTGCAGAGCTGTTACTCACTGTAATATGTGTTATGTAACATGTACAGCCTTGGCTCATAGGCCTGCCTTAAGGGAAAGCTCCTTGAAACAATAGCCATGTCATTCATACAGAGCAATTATTCTCTGGGTTAAAATACAGTTTAAAGAAGTATCTTATAAGGAATAAGAATTCCAGGTTATGGATGGGGTAATATGAAGTTCAGACATGGTCTGTAGCTCTGGAGTGATAGCAGCCATTTAAAATACTCAGTGTATGTGGCTATTGTTACAAGGAAGAGAAAATTATACTAGAGTAATAATGTATGGCAGTTATTTCTTTATGACTTACTAAAATGTCCATGGTAGTTTAGCAAATTGATGATCAATTTGAAATATCCTTCCCTTCCATTAGATTTCCTTAGAGAGGACACAAGAGTTGGGACCAGCTTCCTGCGTGTTGCAGCCCGTGATGATGACTACAGCTCAAATGCTGCCATCACATATTCCATAGCAAGTGATGAACCAAATTATTTACAGATTAACCCTACCACAGGCTGGGTGTTTGTGAACCAACCCATATCTCAGGTGTGGTGCTTGCTTTCCTTTTTAAGCTGAATATTTCAATATATCATAGGAGGGACTGAGGTCATGAGTTTGGGTTACCCCTCAGGTTAAAGGATCAATACATCTATTTAAATTAAACATGAGCCTAAGGCTTTTAGCTGCTCATTGCATATGAGCAAGGCTTGCTTTCAGCTGGGAAGCAGCAGCCCCAGCACTGCCTCTGAGACTTGCTCTGCCCATTTCCCTGGCTCTGGCATGCTGATTCCAAGGGCTGGAGGGCTGAGAAGCAGAGGAGCAAGGACCCAGGTGTAGCACTTTGTTGTGTTTACAGGCAATGAGTCAAGACACAAACCTGAATGGGAACAAGTGGGACATTTTAGTCCTGATACAGATTCCCAACTTGACATATGTCAGTTGTGGTGCATTAAGCATAGCTGTCCCTCAGGAAGGTGAAAGCATCATTCATGTAGTTATCTAAAACTGATCAGTTTCAGCTATTTCTAAATACCTATACAAGCAGTTGGATATTTTCAGGTTTTAAAGTAATTTGTTTTGAAATTGAACTATTGTTGTAGATGTCAGTCTTTAAATAAATACTTTTAATACTGAAATTGAACTTCGAAATAACTGACGCACAAAATTTTGGTGAAGGTGTATCCTTTTAATATATTTTCTTTAATGAATCTAAGAACCCTACAGACCTAATAACAGGAACTGTTAATAGGCAAGTTTAACAGTTTGCAACAGGTCCTTCAAAAGGAGATTTTTTGGTTTTGTTTGGTTTTAAATTTTGTGTCACGTTTGCTTAGGTTTATTGAGACACATAGCAAAATCTTCCAACCCTCTTAAGTAACGTAGATAGAATTTTTCATCAAATTTACGCCTAGTTCATATTTTGAGTTCATCTTTAGATCTTTTTCTTCTGTGAAGGTTATTTTTAAGTGTACCTTTAATTGTGTGTATTAATTTATTTCGGAGGCCTGCTCAAAACCTTCTGTAATAAAACCTTTTTTACTGTTCAGAAGTCATCTATAATTCGAGAGATTACTGCTACAGATGGAGGCAACAGGAGCAGTAAAGTTGAACTTGCTGTAACTGTAACCAGTGCAAAAAACCAGCCACCACAGTGGGAAAGAGACAGCTATGAAGTTGTTATTCCAGAGAATATGACACGGGATGCCTCAATTTTGGTAAGGTTGTTTGTCTGTCTGTAGCTCTCAGACTGCAGAGTAACTGAATATTGTTTATTTGCTTAAATAGTGAGCTTTTATAAGAGTTTTGTGTTCTGTAGCTGAATATCTGGGAGAATGAAAACAAAAGCTTTTAGAAATGTTGCAGTACTTGCAGAAGGGTTGATTACCCACACTTTTTGAACTGTGCAGACAATCAAAGCAACTTCTCCCCTTGGAGATCCCCGTGTCACTTACAGCCTGGAAGAGGGGCTTGTCCCAGAGACCAACATGCCCGTGCGTTTCTACCTGACTCCAAACAGACACGATGGCTCTGCTTCCATCCTGGTAGCTGAGCCCCTGGATTATGAAACAACAAAGAGCTTCCAGCTGCGGGTGCGAGCTCAGAACGTGGCTGCAGTTCCTCTGGCAGCATTCACCACGGTCCATGTCAATGTCACAGGTGGGTGAGCTGCTCAGTGGTGCCACAGTATAATCCTGCACTGTTTGACTCTAAAGTTTTATAGTTTTCTCTCTGTGTGCTCTTTTTGATGTTCTAGATGTCAATGACAATGTCCCATTCTTCACTTCATCCATTTATGAGGCCTCAGTAACAGAGGGAGCTGAGGTGGGGACGTTTGTCACTCAGGTGTCTGCCACAGACCTCGACCTTGGTCAGCATGGGGAGGTAAGAAAGTGGCACCTTCCTCTCCCCTGAGCAAAGCTGTGGAATGACTTCTGCAGGAGCAATGGCTAAATAGTCTGGAAATCTTCAGCCTAGAAAAGGGATGACTAATAGGGAAATGTAGAGTGAAATAAAGTAGATAATTACATGCTTCTCTGTGTTGCCAGGTGAAAAATGCAACTAAAACTAGTAGGTGTGAGACAGAAAACAAAGAGGAAATATTTACACAGCCTGTAGCTTAGTTGAAATGCTTGCTGTAGAATTCCTTTGTGTGGAAAGTTCTACATAGACCTACAATGAGATTGGATAAATGGATGGAAGAAAAGCTGTGTTAAAAGCTTCTGTGAGTTGGAAATCATTGGCAGTACTACAAACTGAATCCTTACAAAATATGGCAAGTTAACACCCAAAGAGGATGTATTCTTTGGTGAATAAACAAATTGAAAATAGATACATCCTTAGAACAAGACTGCAAACTGGAGTCAAGTCACAAAACCATGCAGATAATAGAGGGTAGAACAGGGTCTGTGATCCTGAGCAGGTTCAAATGCAGCTCACCTGTGGATGTTGTAGAACTACTTGGGATCTTTAGCTGAGTTTGAGTGCTGCAGCACAAGCACTGTACAAACATGTGCTAGTGAAATCAGGAGCTGATTAGACAAATTATTTTCCTTTACAGATCAGCAGTCAAGGAAGTTAATTGGCTTTAGACCAGATTGCTGAAGCTGCAGTTTTACCCAGTTTCCTTGGCCTGATCAAGTACTTGGACATGGGACAGTTCTTCCTCTCTTTAAGTGCTATTCTAGTTGTGACCTATTCATCAACAGGAAAGTATTAACAACTTCTTTTCAATCCTGTAGATAACTTACTCCCTGTTACATGACAGTGGCAGAGACTACACCTGTTTTCGCTTGGACCCCCAGACAGGCTCCATTTACACCACCTCAGTGTTTGACAGAGAGGAGAAGGGCTCCTACCTCCTGGAAGTCAAGTCAGTGGATGGCTCTGAGTCAGCTCGACCTGGAAAGCATGGGAAGCCAAACTCTGGTAAGGGACAGATGGCTGTGGTAAGTGTGATATTACTTGGATTGTGTCTGAAAACAGAAGTTCTGGAACACAAGACTAAATGGTAATTTCCTTTTTTTTTTTCATGTCTTGTGGAAGAGTGCCTGTTCTCATTTCGTGGTGGCTTTTTTACTGTTTAGCTGTGCAACAGTTGTGTTAGAGCTGGAAGATAAGCTTTGCATGATGATCAAGCAAGATTTTTGTTCTGAAATAAAAAAAAAAAAAACTACAGACCTTCATATTTAGAGTTTAGAGAGTGTTTTCTAGCTGGCAAAGATGTGCCATTATCTATAGGATGCAAATCTTTGCGCAGGGCAAGTGTTTCTCAAAGCACTGCATATGTATGGTACTCAATTAAAAGTAATTATGGAACAGGAATATGCAAGATAGAAAATCCTTTTTTCACTGATCGCTCTGCTTAAATAAAAAGTTAAAATTTTGTGGCTTCAGGACAAAAAAGTTATGACTAAACACTGTACAACTGTCATATTAGGCATCAATGACTCGATTATTCATGTAGGATGTGTTTGAACAAATTGGATGTGACATTTATTTGATACCCAAGTGCTTTTGAGTACTGTTGGTATATAGGCAGCCCACAGCCCTAAGGGTTTGTGTCTGCATTGCCTGCACATTTGTCCCATTGAAGGTGAAGGGATTGCAGGTGACAGCAGTGGCACAGCTGGGCTGAGTGTGTGGCTCTTGTCCCTGCAGACACGGCGTACGTGCGCGTGTCCGTCAGCGACGTCAACGACAACCAGCCCGTGTTCGCGCAGAGCGTCTACGAGCTGAGCGTGGACGAGGACCAGGATGTGGGCTCCACCATCCTCACCGTCACTGCCAGCGATGAGGATGAAGGTAAAGCACTGCAATCCCCCACAGCTCTCTCCAAAATATGAATCAGTTTTATTCATCTCAGCACTCCGAGGCATAGTTGGTGGTGTGAGAAAAGGAAATGTCCTTCTGTCCCCAGATTTTAAAACTTCTTTAAGTGTGCACTGCTCAGGCATGAACATTAGTTCATAGCTGTGAGCTGTGAGGCACAATCTCTTATTTCAGGAGACATGCACTAATGTGAGATGATAGGAGATAATTTCTGTGCCCACAGATACAAATTTTTTATAGATCAGATAATTTTCTTACAAATAAGTGCCAATAAAAATGTCCTGGTTAGCTACAACAAGTCAGACTTCATTTCAGTGAGATTCGTTTGCTTCCTCAATGATGGACAGTATAGTTTGTGTTTGCTTTGTTTGTTTTATTTCAATCCAGACTTCCTAAATGCATATGATTAATTTTAGCTACACTGTTTTATCCACAAATCAGCCAGAAATTCAGCCACTAATCATGTAAAAGTACTCATGCTTTGAGTACTACTGGTACTATGAGTACCAGTGCTCATAAAAGGGAAAGGGATCAGTAAATGCTTCCATCTTTTGACCCTGGAGCACTGTTAATTCAGCTTCCCTATATGGTGAATCACTGCTATTTTTTGTTGTTGCACAAGTCCCAAGGACTGTTCTCTGTGTGTTTGTGAAATGCAAGGAAATCCTGACTGCATTGGATTCCTCCCACTCTGTAGGAGGCTGAGGCAAATGTGGTGAAGATGTGCTACAGAAGGATTTCCTACTCAAGGAACTTTTAGTCTGGGACTTAGGCTGCCTGTAAATCTGCTCAAGGACAGGGGACCTGATGTGATGGATATATGGCACTTCATTTCTGCCCTCTAAATAAAGTCAAAACAGAATTATTACTTCATTGCATAGACAAATTTTATAGAAACAAACTACAGTTGGACACACCAGAACTGAAAATGCTGCTTAGTAATCTGACATAGCTGCACGTTTTAAAAGACCACAAAAATGATAAAATAAAAATAATACCACTAATCAGTTATTGTGTGATTTGTACTTCATCTCACCATCAGCCTACTTCAAGAAATGTGTGTTTTCTGATGCTGTTGGTACTTGACAGGAACAAATGCTAAACTACGGTATCAGATCACAGCTGGAAACACAGGAGGGGTGCTGGATGTAGATCCAGAAACAGGAGCCATTGTCATTGCCCAGCCACTGGACTATGAAGAAACAAAAATGTATGAGATTCACTTGTTGGCCTCTGATGGGAAATGGGAGGATTATGCAGTTATCATCATCAACATCATGAATAAGAATGATGAGGCTCCAGTTTTTTCTATCAATGAATACTATGGAAGTATAATTGAGGAGCTGGATTCGCTGCCAGTCTTTGTACTTCAGGTAGTGTATGCAGTTCCACAGATTATAATATTTCAATGAAAGAGCACAGATTACTGTGGTACAATTATGTTAAAAATAACTCAGCACATAGATATTAATGAAGTTCCTTTTGACTAAGTTTTTTTGTCATTGAAGAGAAGAAATGGACTTTTGTGGAAAAAAAAAAATACGGGGCTAGTAAGTGGGGTAAACAGGATGGATCGTTTGTTAATCCTGAAAAGCAAATAATGGACAACTTAAAGTAGCTATCAGAATGTAATATTTGAATTCATATATGAGTATGAAGAATATAATATTATTTTAGTACTAAAATTGTTAACATTGTTAAAAATGCATATTTCCCTGCCCTGAATTGTCCCTGGATTTGCTATTTCCTAGCATGCACATGTTATTACCAAGTCATATGCTTTTGCTTGAACTCCTTTAGACTGGAGCAGCATATGGATGTGATGCAGTCACTGCATATTTCACACTTTCTATGTTTGTTTTTTTTGTTTTTCAAAACTATTGCAGGTTATGGCCAGTGATCCTGATAGTGGTGTTGATGGAGGAGATTTGAGATATTCCTTGCATGGCTATGGTGCAGGTGACATTTTCACAATAGATGAGAAAACAGGCAGTATTTACTCCCACAAGAGGCTGGACCGGGAAGAGAGAGCGCTGTGGAGGTTCATTGTGCTGGCCACTGATGAAGGTGGAGGAGGACTCACAGGCTTTGCAGATGTGATCATCACCGTGTGGGATATAAATGACAATGCACCCACGTTCTCCTGCATGCCTGATGACTGCAATGGGAATGTCTTTGAAAACTCTCCTGCAGACACCTTGGTCATGGAGATGGCGGCAGTGGATCGTGATGACCCAAACGTTGGTGTGAACGCTGTCCTGACCTACAGGATAACTGAGAATGTGAAGAATGAGTTTGGGACTGACATGTTTAACATCAATCCCAGTACTGGGACCATCCACGTGGCAGGGGGGCTGCTAGACAGGGAGAGGACTGAAAGTTACTTCCTTACTGTTGAAGCAAGAGATGGGGGAGGGCTAACAGGAACTGGCACTGCCACGGTCTGGGTTGCAGATGTCAATGATAATGTCCCCAAATTCACAAAGAAGCTGTGGCAGGCAGCAATTCCTGAGAACAGTGCCATTGACTCAGAAGTCCTGCAGGTGTGTGCTACAGATGCGGATGTTGGGGAAAATGCAGAGTTAATGTTCAGTATCATTGGGGGAGACCCAGATGAGAAGTTCTATATTGAGAATGACAAAGAATGGCAATGTGGCACTGTTCGACTGAAAAAAAAGTTGGATTTTGAGAATGCCCGTGAAAGACAGTTCAATCTTACTGTTACTGTGGAAGATCTGGATTTTTCTAGTGTTGCAGTGTGCCTGATTGAAGTTGAAGACTCAAATGACCACAGCCCAGCTTTCCCTTCTCAGTTTATTCAGACAAACCCTGTGTTTGAAGATGTGCCTGTAGGTACTACAGTAACCACAGTGAGGGCTACAGACAAGGACTCTGATTTGAATGGGAAGATTATCTATTCTATAAAGTCAGACTCAGACCCTTTGAGACAGTTTGTGGTTGACCAGTTTGGTCACGTGGTTGTGGCAAGCGCACTTGATCGAGAGGCCATTCAGAAATACGCTTTGATTGTCCAAGCTGCAGATCAGGGGACGCCTGCCCGCACTGGAAGTGTCACAGTGTTAATTAACTTGCTTGATATTAATGACAATGGACCAAGGTTTGAAGCCCCATACATGCCTGTAGTTTGGGAAAACACACTGAAGCCTGAGGTAGTGCATATGAACCACACCTCAAAGCTGCTTCATGCGTTTGATCCAGATGCTGAGGAAAATGGGCCCCCCTTTACCTTTTCATTGCCACCAGAATATCAGAATTCCTTGGACTTTTCTCTTACTGACAACAGAAATAACACAGCAACTATAACAGCTTTGAGATCCTTTGACAGAGAAAAGCAGAAGGTGTTTCACCTGCCAATAATTATAATGGATAGTGGGATTCCAGCCATGAGCTCCACAACCACCCTGACTATAACAATTGGTGATGAGAATGACAACTGCCACGAGTCTGGCCACAAGGAAGTCTATGTGTACAGCTACAAAGGTAAGTGCTAGCTGGATGTGAGATCAGATTAATGAAATAGTGGAGTTTTACATTAATTTCTTTCTTGCAGTCTGTTAATTTGTTTCTTTAATGGTTTGCATACTTCAAAACTGCAGCTGCTGTTCTGTAAACTACTAAGGTGGAGTAAATGAACTATATTTCACTTACTCCACTTGTTAAAATTAGACCTTAGTGTGTAGAAGATTATCTACCAAAGAACTGTTAGCTGCAAACAGGTATATATTGAACTTGCAGTAAAAGCAGTGTTTTTATAAACCCATAAGATCTATTTTCCATTAGTGAGTGTTCACCTCCAAAAGGTATTTTGCAGTTACATTTTCTGAGTTTAGTATGCCTAAATTACAAAAAAGATGTGATCAGATCTTACTGTAGAAATGAGAGAATGAAGCATCCAGGTTGGCTAGGCTCCAGATTTGAACCTTAAAAATCTCCCATGTTGCTGAACATGGATTATGGATTTCAAAAGTCTCTTTCCCTGGATTTGTTCCTCTTGCTGTTTTAGAAAATATAGTTGTAAATTCCACTTCTGTGCCAGCCTCCAAGGGCCTGGAAAAATCAACAAGACCTGGCCCAGCTTGGTGTCTTCCTGCCCTTTTCCTTTTCCCAATCATGTCCTTCTCTCCCAGTTGTACCCCATAAGGTGCTCTCCCTCTTTTGCTGGGTTCCACTTGTGTGCTCTTCAAAATAAGAGAGTAGCACGAAACATTTGGAATTAACTCCTGATGTGGTGATTTTTAATTTTGCTTTTGTCTGAGAGTTTTTTAGAGAGTTGTATTTATGTATGATTCTAGTGCTGTTTTGTGCTGTTTCCAGCTTTCCTTCTTTCATGTGGCATCTCCAGTGTGCTCACATTGCCAGAACTGGCAGAAATCATATGACAGGCTATGCATTGTTTTAAGAATCTTGGATCATAACCATCACTAAATTGAGCAGGAGTCTGAAAATAATAAATGCAGTAATGAATGTCACAGAATATAAAGTACACTGAAAAGCAAAAATTAAATGCAGATTTATTATAATTTATCTCAACAGGAAAATGGTCAACAACAGTGCTTGGGGAAGTGTTTGCACCAGATCAGGATGACTGGGACAATAAAACATTTCTCTCTGAAGGAAAACTGCTCAAGTGAGGATTGTATTTCTGTCAAAATGAGTAATATTTATGCTTCTGTAATTATTTTCTCACCATGTATTTCTCTGTGTTCAGGATGTGCATAAAGCCAGGGTTATTGAGTGTATTAAGGGATGTACCTTTCGAATGCTCTTTTTCTTTTTCATTTGAGTTACTAGGTATTGAGAAATTTTTGCATTAAATATTTTTTCCAAGACAATGCAGGATCACACCATGATGTTGATTTTTAGTCAGATGTCATAGTTAATTTACTTTAATATGCACATTCTGTAAGCTCCAATTTAAAAATAGACAGAGTCCTAATGCTTGCTTTCAGATGTTAGGGTTGTTGGAATACAAATCCTGAATTTAAAAGCAAAGAATGGAGTAATTTCATCAAAAGTGGAAGGGAATTTGGTGCTCTCCTTTGATAGCTAAATTTGCAATTGCATGTGAAAACCATGACTCAGATTAGTGGAGGTTTTTTTTCTGTTAATTGAAATGTTGAATTGGACCCTTAATTCCTACTTAGATATTATTTGTTCATATCATAGAGTGAGATTGTTTCTGGCGTAACTGTATGCTGTCTAAAAGGGAAAAAATGGATGTGAAGTGAATTTTAGTCTGTGCTATGACTAAAAGTTTAAAGCTTTATGCAGCCCAGAATTAAAGACTTTCTGTCCATCAGTAGCCCCTGGGCCTGTTTCTATGCTAAGAGGTCACTGTTCCATAATAATGGTCATGGAATATTTCCATAATTGCTGATTTCTGGCCCTTTGAGGTGTCCAATGAAGATGCTGTGAGAGATTTTATACAAACTTATCCTGTTCCAGATAGAGATGTGAGAACATGGAATGATCAGTGAGGGTTTGTTTTTACCCCTATTACTGACCTCAGAGGCTTGTTCATGATGGCTGTGCTGAACCACCTGGCTCAACTGCACATTGCTTTTGTTCAAATCTGGGAAAGGCTGAGTGGCAGGAACATCTCCTTATAAGATCTGCAGATTGTCTTTTCTCAGTTAAGGTGGCTGAGGTGCCTTTCTGAGGTTGTTGGCTAATTCCCATAAGTTTTGGACCTATAACCTTCATAGTAACATTTAAGGCCTTCTGAATGGTGTTAATCAATAAAATGAAACCTCAACTTTGATTTGTTAAGATTTCCTAATTGAAGGTTTCTGTCTAGATCTTTCAGATTAAATCAGAGGACTGGGTCTTTGCTGATGGTGGATAACACTCCTCAGGGAATATACAACTTAAGAGTTAGAGTTTCTGATGGAATTTGCCCTGATGTTATATCTACAGTACAAATCCATGTCAGAGACCTGGAAAATGAGGCCATACAAAACTCAGCCACTGTGCGTTTCTCAGGTTGGTTTTATCTGCTGGTGAGGGTTTAGATCAGCTGCTTCTCTAACTGAATGTTTATGTGGTATAGGCATTATTACATCAATACTTGATTTGCTTTTCACTGTAGGCTACTTTCTGGTATGTTTCCATATTGTTAAATAAGAAATAAATTGAGAAATTAACCCATGAGCTCCCAGGTGTTCAGGTTTGTCTATTTTTGAATCCCCTGACCAGGTGTCACAGCAGAGGAGTTCATAAGGAGAGATGAACATGGCAAAACGAGACATGGCGAGTTCAAGGAGTTCCTTGCAAAGCTGTTACCTGCCAAGCTGAGTGATGTGATTGTGTTCAGTGTGATGGGCAGGGATGGACCACAGACAGATGTGAGGTTTGCAGTCCGTGCTGGCTCGGCCTATTACACACCTGAGAAGCTGCATGCGGAGATGGCAGCGTTCAAAACTGAGGTTGGTTCTCACCTGTGCAACTCGGCCAAACACTGAGATTGCAGGGAGTACATCCCAAACTTCAGTGGAAAACTACACTGCATCTACAGATAAGGGTTTTATTGCTTCACTCAGGACAAAAACAAGTGTTTAATTCAGGATTTCTCCCTTTTTTGTGCCGTACATACTATGGTGTGGTTGTACTAACTCCTGGTTCAATGAATAGTCACTGGAGAGCTGCAAATAATGGGGCTGCAGTGCTGCCATGGGGCACATAGTGTGTTTTCTCCAGTCAGTGTTTCATTGTGTCATCCCCAAATACCCACATCACCTTGTGCTTAGACACTTAAGGTGGAGGCTTGATGTCACCTTAACAGAAATTCTGCAGTACAAAGAGGTGACACTTCAGAGGAAAAGTGCTGCTGGAAGGAATGTGTGCCTTAGGGAACAGTTGCAACAGGTAAGTGGAGATGGAGACAACCAATCCTGTGGTTCATTTATCTCACCAAAGGACAGCCTCAAATACAAAGTGACACCATCCCCCAACTTCTTTTACTGTTGTCAAGGAAAATATTTTTGGATGGAAGATGTTTTCCTCCCCTTCTTGGTGTTCTCCAGCTGTCCTGCTCTCTGACTCAGTTACAGACACAGTCTGTCTTGGCCATGGCTGGATTTTTCTGCAGCCCTGCACAAAGGCAAAGTGACACTGTTCAGCTTTTCACTTTCCCTGGCCATTTTGGGTTTAATACATGGTACATCATATGGATGATTTTTCCAAACAGAAATCAGCGCTTTCCATTTGTGTGAGTATGGTGGGGTCTGCCTGAGTCTGGGAACAACAGGGCTGGGAACCAAACAGGGCCGTCTTAACTTAGTACCTGCCTTCTCCTTGGTGTATCTTGAATGGCTCTGTGGATTATGAGAGCCTTCAGAGTGACCAAATAGGGAATGCCAGAGACAGAGAGTATTCATGAAGGGTAATGACTGCTTCTTTTGCATATTTATTGAATTACTGCTACAATAAGATAGAAAATCCTATAGATTTCAAATATTATCTGCCATAATACATGACACCTGAATTCATCAGTGGTAACAAGGGGATTGCTTCACGTATTTTAATGAAAAAATATGTTTTTGTTAATTATATACCACCTTTCAATATTTAATGAATAGTTCTAGTGAGTAATCACCAATAGTTTACAGAAAACCAATCATAGCTGGAGAATTCCTCCAGTAGTTTTTCTATGTGTATAACTATAAATATAGAAAATAAGTAATTAGCACTGGAATTATTCATTGAATTTCTACATAAATAATATGTTTGCATTACCTCCTGGGGGTATAGTTTTACAACAGCAATTTTTATTTAGCAAAAATATAATCCATCCTAATACTTTAAAGGAGCCAAGGTTGTTTTTATACAGTTTTTTAATAACAGTATTACATGGATGTCTAAATGTGTATTACAGACTCTCCAGTGATGGTGATAAATGTGGGCAGCAGACACAGACCTGCATTGACAGGATGCATCATTTCATTACAAAGTATACTCTGTGCCTTTGGGGCAGGGCATCAATACTTGTTATGATATTTGAGAATATAGAGACAAAGCATTATAAAGATCAAAGTTCTTACACTGGTGAACTGAGATGTCTACACAAATGAGAAAAAAATAGAAGCACTTGAGTATTTATGTATTTGTTTTGATCTTTTCAAAGCTTATTTTTAAGGTATTTGTCATATGTTTTACTCTCTGGGAAAAACCCCTCAATATTAAATGCATAAAGCTCTAGTATTGTTAGTTTTACATTTTTATACCTTGTTCATTTGTGTACCACTGTGAGAGTAGTGAGGTCTTTTGCCTCACTAACCCAAACTCAGGTTTTGGGTACACATTTCAGTGTATTTGAATCATCAAATACAGATGAAATTCTGAAGCTTTATAACAGACACCTGTGCAAAATTCCCAAATAAGTGGAAGGAACAAACTGTGATAATTTAGGGGTGCAGGCTGAAGGACAAAAAGCCAGGAGTAATGGCAGTTCTGTTCTGGCCTCACACTGTGAGCTCCCTTCCCTCCCTCTCTGCCAGTGCTTCCTTGCTCCATTTGGAGTGGAAGTTGTGCTCTCAGAGTCACTATTCCTCCATTTCCAGACCTGTGGTTGCACTGAGGCTCTTTATATTTGATACTTGGCCTTTCAGGTGCAAGCCAAATTAACAATAAAAACAGTGAACCAACAAAGATGAATGTAGCATAGAATACAGTATCCAGTATGCTGAACTGTGTTTTGTTGCAGACAGCTTGACATGAAATGTAAATTTATGGGACACAAATCATTAGACTAAATCCAAGTTGCTACACAGTTGTCTTTTCAGGTTGCTGTCTGTGGACATGATTATTGAAAGCAGCTCAGCTGTTTGCTGTGTCTGTATCCTTTTGTGTGAGAGAATGTAAGGAATGATATCTGAGTGTTACTGCTGAGGAAGGATTTATCCTGGCTTGAGCTGAAACACTCCTGTTGCTGTTGAAGTGCAGAGAGGTGTGATGCAGATGCTGCAGCTCAGAAGGTGGAGTTTCACTGCTCTCAGAGCTTTGGAAATAATGTTATTAGACCAGTACAGATGGTCTAATAATGTCTAATAATGGTCTTGGAAATAATGTTGTTAGACCAGTACACGTTCACACTTAATCAACTCAGTGATCAAGGTTTTAGGAAATGCCACTGCTGTAATTTTTTAATGAAATGTTTCCTGAATTTTTCAAATTATTTTTCTTGCTTACATAATCAGGGATGTTACTAAGTAATACTCAAGAAACTTAACACTGCATTAAGTCTCTGGTGGCTCCGATTTTTCAGAATTGAGGTAAAAGCCTTCATTAGGATAACAGTGGTGCTGTCTTTTCTCCCAGATGCAGTCAGCTCTGCAACTGAACATTTCCCAGATCGACGTTGACGAGTGCAGGAGTGCCAACTGCAGCGAGGGCTGTACAAACCACCTGAGTGTGAGTGACATCCCCACAGTGCTGGACACGGGGAGCGTGTCCTTGGTGTCCCTGAGCACCTCTAGCCACGGGCTGTGCTCCTGCTCGGCCCGCGAGCGCCTGCACCAGCCCTGCGCCTCCTACCCCCGCAGCCCCTGCCTCAACGGGGGCCTTTGTGTCGACACTCTGAACGGCTACAGGTGAGCCAGCCTGCTCTGCACATCATTTCTGCCCTCTGCTTGTAAGGTGTTGAGTGGTACCTGCCTCAAATAACCATAAATGTACTTCTGACTGAGGAAGAAGCAGAAAAACCCCACACATGCATTGGGGTGTAAAAACCTAACAGCAACAGGGGCTTCATGATGGCCCCGATGGGGCTGTGGTCCCAAAAAGTGCATGAGGAACAAAGAAGACCCTGGGGAACACATAATTAACACTTGTCATTGGTTAAGAGCACCTAATTCAGGATGAAGGCATGTATGCCCTGTTTTTTTTCTCTTTTCCAGCAGAGTAATAATAAAAGTGAGTATCAATGGCAACAGCAGGGATGTAGGAGTGAAATATAGTTCAAACAATGGGTAATAAGGAGCCTAAAACACATTAGATTGTAAATTTGCTTTATTATAGCATCACCTGGCATGCAGCAATATTCCCTTAGTGAAACGAATTCCAGCTAGGAATTAACCTCCCCAAGGTTACTCTGTAATAAATTGATGTTTGGTGTTCTGTGTTATTTAGGAAAAAAAGTTTGTTGTTCTCAAAAACTTGGCCTCAAAAATACTTTTTGTTTGAGGGAGTTAGTATAAGAAACAAAAATACTTTGTACTCTTAGAGCATTTTAATAATTGCCAAACCTAATATTCTGCTAAAATCTTTGTTTTGCTGATTTTTTAACCGATTTAAGTTCTGCATTTGCTGAACCAAAAAAAAGCTGAACATGGGGGAATTTTGACTATTTTTGTTTTTGGCCTTTCAGATGTCTTTGTCCTGCTTCCTTTCATGGACCAGACTGCCAGCAGACGAAGCACAGTTTCCATGGAAATGGTTATGCATGGTTTCGTCCCATCAGACCTTGTTTTGAAAGCTCACTCTCTCTAGAGTTTATTACTGTGGTTCCAGATGGACTTTTACTATATAGTGGCCCTTTATCAAATCCAGAACCTGGGAGCACAGAAAACTTCATTGCAATAGGTACTTCTGCAAAAGGATGTGGGAAAATTAAATGTCTTTTGGGAATGGATTGTTTGTGACCAGTTTAACAATTAGACTATGGATTCTGTCTTTCCACTTAATGAGGTAATTTATTTTGTGGTGTAAAAATATTTTGAAGCATTTCCTAACAAGTCTTTCTCCTTTGATGTCTATTTTTGTAGCCTGCACCTCTGGCTTTGGGCTCATCACAGAGTTGTAGAAATGAAGGGGAAAGCAAAACAGATTGATATATATGTAAAAAAAATAACCTGCCTAGAAACCTGTAGTGCTGTAAAGGAATTTAGGTGCTTTGAAGATAGGTATTACACGAATAGTGCAGTCTTAGTTGCATGTCATTCTTATCTAGTTTGGTGAGAAAAGAAATCCACTTAAACTCCCTTTGGTCTTGGAGCAATTTTGCAGATTTTTTAAACTGGCAACGATGTGAGGGTTGAATCCAGCCCCACCTGCCATTGTGGGAAGATTCATCTACAAGTAGAACTCAATGCTTTATGTTAACACATATTTAAAAGGTTACTGCTGCTTATTTTTTGTGAATTAACACACAAGATGAACAGTATGCCTGGCATTTTATATTCTCCTGATTAATTGAAAGGTAATGTGGTTGAATAGTTAATAATTTACCCCCCCCCTTTTTTTTTGCCTTGCTTTGCAGTTACTTGTAAATTTGAGTAGAAGATGGGAAAGAAGAAACCTGCATATATTAATTGTTTTAGAGCATCATAAAATTGCAGATTGCTTCTCAGGAATTAGTTTTGGTGTTTTGACAGAGAAGTGGAATAATCTGAAGTGTATAAGTAAACAATATACTGAATAAGTACTTCTGCTTAATAGAAGACATAGGGTATAATTCTAGTTATTTCTGTAGTGTATGTATGTGACTAACAATAACCAGTAAATCAGTACAGTCACTAACTGCTGAGATACCAAAAGTGACGTTTTGTAGCTGAATGTAATTGCTTGTTCATGTTGTATTAGAACTCTCTAGTGGTGTTCCTGTGCTGAAGATGAGCCATGGCTCAGGTTCTGTGGTGCTGCAGTTTCCAAGTCATCTGAATGTAGCAGACAAGAAGTGGCATCGACTGGAAGTCAGAACTAATGGTCAGGTCAGTTATTGGAAATTTTTTTTTTCACATCAGGATATTAATATTTCTAAAAATATTTCCCTGTGCAGATACAGGAGGGTAGAAAGAACAGACTTTCAATAAAGAACAGACAATAGGTATTGTCCTAACTGCTCGTGTAGGTTTGATGAGTAATAGAAATTTTGGGACAGCCTCATTGTGAATTCACATCCACTGATGTTGTAATCCATATTCTGTATCTTTACCTTTTCTAAGCTCTGCTGCAGCACGTGTAGAATGTGGCCACTGGAATCCATTACTTGTGAACAAAAAGCAGATATTTATTTACTTGCAAATACAGTTACAGGTCTTGTGTAAGTGGTTGAAATACTCAGAAGAACAAATAAAGTTGAGAAGTTCCTGCTTTGCTAAATGGTTCCATTATGGCTCTACTAGTTATTGCAAGATGAACAGAACAGGGAACAGCCCAGCGCTTTTTGGCTGACAGTGGCAGGAAGCAGAGGCTGAGGCTGGGTGCAGCAGGGCCAGCTCAGTGTGTGTTGTGCAGGCTGTCAGGTTCACCCTGGATCGCTGCAGCGCCGCCGTGCTCTCCGAGATCGAAGGCGTTGGCCGCTGGCTCTCCACCGAGGATCGCACGGACTGCGAAGTCCTGGGCTCTGTTCCACGGACAGCAAGGTACATTCCTGCAGCTTCCCTGCAAGGCACTTGGTTCTAAGGCCTGGGAACATTTGACCTGCTAGACTGAAGGCGAGTTATTGATAGCTAGGAGCATAAAAAGCATTTCATCTTTTCTCAGGCCTTCTACACCAAGCCTGGAGCTCAAAGAACTAAACAAATTTTAAGGAACCGGTCTTCCACTGAGTAGTGTTGCAGTAAACTGCATTAGTAAACTGATAGCCCCAAAACTCTGTGGCTATTACTGGAGCTTTTGTGGGTCCTGTGCACCACCCTCCACCCACAGGATTTCTCTTTGTCAACTCACTGTGAGCCTGCTCTTCAAAACTTCACAAATTTAGGCCAGTTGACATCAGAGTCCTGGGTGCATTTGGTGCTCCACAGTGCAGGGTGGACAAGGAGCAGGGGGGTACAGTCTAGAGAAGAGCAATAACTGATCAGCTCACCCTGAGAGTAAGAATCAAGAATGAAGGAATTGAGGTCAGTTAACAGAAAGAAGGGAGAACTAAGGAGAGATAAGTCTCAGTGTGTATAAAAGAATGGTACAAAGAGGATTTAGACAATCTCTTCTGTACAGGGCCTAAAGTTACAGTGAGGAATATTCAAGTTATCTTTTAGGGAAACCTTTGTACTAACAAAGATTCCACTTCAGCTGTGGAATAGTTAGTCCAAGCAAGGATTCTGATGAGCATTGGGATTAAGCCTTGTCCACAGCTGCATGGAGCTCTCCTGGTCATGAAAGGAGCACAAAGAAAGGGAGAAATATAAGGATAAATGGAAACAAAAGAAATGACTTGATAACTCTGGGAAAAAGAAAGTATATGGACTAAAATGCATGGAGTTGTTTGGCTTGGAGAAATGATTGGGAGACAGTGCAGAGCTTGGACATGTTTACCATGCCTTTTAGACCACATGGATCCAACTTTTAGATTTCTGAGTTTTGTCCTACACAGAACAGCCTTTGCTGTAGTATTCCTACAGCATAGGATGCCTGTGTACACATAGAGCACTTCAAGGAGAATATGGTGTCTAGAATATCACAGCTTGAATGCAAACATAGCCAAAATGTAACAGTGTCCCACAGTTAAACTTCCAGCAGGTTTCACTGTCATATTTAAAAAATACCCTTTATTTTAAAGGGCTTTATTTCAGAGAGAGAAGATAAAGTAGTTGCATTCTAGTTATGTTATAAAGCCTTTGTTATTTGGAAAAGCCATGTATTTATTTATTTATCTGCTTATGTTTGAAGGTAGATGCACATCTATTTTCATTATTGATATGATTTTTAAAGGTATTTGAATGTGAACCATGTTCTCCAGCTGGGTGGTGTGAAGGAGTCCATCCCATACTCCTACCCACAACTGCTACACAAACATTTTTCTGGTTGCTTGCGCAATTTCATCTTGGATACTCAGGTAAGAGCAGAGTAATGTTTGCTTTAGCAGAGAAGAAAACTTCTTTATTCAACTTTTGGGAGATACATATTACACATGGAACTTCTGCTTCCATCAATGTATTCAATGCCCACATGCATCAGTGTAAAATACAAGAAAATTCTGGGTTTTTCTGTGATAATTAGAATAAGTACCTTGAAAAGTTATTTCGCAATAGAAGGAGATGTATTAGTGAGGCAGGAACTGTGTGTTTGTTTATGCCCTGTTTCATGCAGCTGTTTTCCAAGCTTCTTTGTGCATTCAGGGAACTTCTGAATGGCAATTGTATAATGGTATATTTATGCCAGCTGTCTGCTTTGTTAGGAAGTATTAGAGATTTTTTGTTTTCATAGTCAGTTGAGTTTATTCAAAGGCAAAATATGTTCCTGATAAAATCAGCTGAAGTCTGAATGTCAAAAAGAAAACTTAGCAACTTAAGCAATGCAGATGAGGAGCACACAGTGAAGTGGTGCAGCTATTTCTGTTTAAAAATGAAATATGTTTCTCAAATAATAATTTTGTGTCATGAATTGTCTCTTGAAGGTATACGACCTTCAGTCTCCTGCAGAGTCCCTGAACAGCTTCCCTGGCTGCTCCCTGACGGATGGGAGCTGTGAGACCATGGGATCTTCCTCCTGTGGTGCCCATGGCAGGTGCCTTGGGGACTGGGGCTCCTTTGCGTGTCACTGCTTGCCAGGCTACCACGGCTATCGCTGTGATAAAGGTGAACCTGCTTTTCTCTTTCATTACTGTAGGCTGCTGCATCTTACAGTACAGGAAACTTCAAATATTTGCAGGTAATGATTGTTGAGGTGGCTTTACATTACATGCTGTAAAGCCATGTTGCAGTGTAGTTGCCTGTGATTGTTGACAATTTCTTTTCTAATTCCCTTTGAGAAATTGCTTTCTCAGTACAGGATCATTTCTTTAAACCTGAGGGTGTTTGTGCAATGACTGTATAATGACATGGCTGCATGACAAAAAAATTGTGAAAAGGTATTTTATTTTGCTACAGTTGTTTGATTTGCATCTGTTTACACTTTCAGAAATATTTAATAACCTAAAAAATATGAGTGTGCCAGTACCACTTTCTGTGCAGAATAAGAACCATGCAACTGGAATTAGAAATCACTGCTCCTTTGGTGTCAGGAAGAGACTCTGCTGGCTTAAGGATCTATGCTTTGGGAATAGTAGAATTTTTAGCTCCCATAGAGCCAAAGTTGCTGCAGAAAGACAATTATAAAATTGCAGGTTGTGAAATTTGATTGTGGTACTTCATCTGCAGGCTCTTCTCTTGGTCAGAGGTGCTGCTTCCCTGCTGTTACCCCATGTGAGCATTGTAAGGAGGAACATTATCAGGATCTAGTTGGGTGGGAGAACAGCTCTTTACAGAGGAAAATGAATTGTGAGAGTGACTGGAGAAGCTGTGGAAATAAATACAGGAGTGTGTCCCAAAGGACAAATGTCTCACAGATCCACGCTGTGCATTGCAATTGTTTCCTTTTTCTTTCGACTCTCATTATGACATTAGGGCAATAGCAGTGTTTCCCTCTCCCCAGGAGCTGGTTTAAAGGTTTCTCTCCCTTGCAGTGGCCCAGGAGTACAGGTTTGAGGCGGGCAGCCACATCCGCTACCAGCTGCCCGTCAGCGTGCCGGCGCGCAGGACGCTGCTGCAGGCCCTGGTGCGCACGCGGCAGCGCGACGGCGTCATCGCCTCCGTGCTGTCCCGCGCCAGGGACGAGCACATCACCCTGCAGGTGAGGCCACCACCCACACAGTGACAGTGACAGGGGCACCAGAGCCACACACAGCTCAGAGACACACTCGCTCAACAGGTGGAAACAGGACAAAGCCTTATGCTGAGCACCACAGTCTGGGATGGGTTTTATGGATAGACACATCTGATCCTTTACTCGAGATACTGACCACTCAGCTGTGGTATCCCATTGGCTTTTGATGCCCACACTGATACAGGTTCTGTACAGAATAGGATGAAAGGGGTGTGTACCTGCTGTCCTTGTGAACCATGTGACCACTTCTGCATAGTTCAGACTCTGCCAAGTAAGGTGCCTGTGGCAGTTCTAATGATGTCAGGCTCTCAGAGTGACAACCTTCTCATTTTATACACACCACTGAACAAGTCACCTCTTCAGCCGTGTTGGTTTGAGCTGTCACTGTAGCTGTGATACACCAGACTCTCAACTATTAGAAGAACCCCACAAATTTGTGCAAGAGAGATCAGGGTAAAATTACTCCTAAGGTGGCTTAGATACTACTGTGAGTATATTGCTACCACATTTAGTTTGTCTAATTCAGTAGTATTGGTATTTCTGTATTACACCTAAATGTGTATTGGTATTGGTATTTCTGTATTACACCTAAATGTGCAGTGTAAACATACTCTAAATTTAAGCAAATACTTTAAGATTGAAGTTACAGGTCAATACAAAATGCCAGGCAATGACTTTTCTTTTCTTTCTTGCTATTTGTGAATTATCCACAAGGTTGTTCAGGGACTGTTAGTGGTCTCATACAATCTGGGTGATGGAAACTATTCTGTAAGCCTTCCCTCCTACCACATTGATAATGGTGAATGGCATCACGTCACACTGGAGAGAAATGAAAATGAATTTACTCTTCGCCTTTATGAAGGAGGTGGCAAGAGAGAGATTACTAAAGCAGCAGGAATATACAAAGAGATTGTCATTGACCCCAGCAGCTTGGTCCTTGGAAACACCTACCCATTCAGTCAAAACAGGAGTTTTCAAGGTAGGAATTCACAATCTCACTGTTCATAATACGGACCTGTAAAAATAAAAAAATAGTGCAGGAAACTTTCTTGTTTATGTAGAGGCAAAGTACACAGATTTCCTGCATGACACTTTGCAACAGGGATGCATAAGCTGTTCTGATGACCTGAAGGTGCAGCAGGGAATTGCCTGCAAATACACCTGGCTACTGGACCTGGAACAATGATGGTCACCTCTTGCCTTGGCTGCAGAGTTGGTACCTGGAGATCCGGAAGCTTCTCCCAGACAGACTGTGCATGGCTCCCTGCCTTGGATAGGCAGAGCTGCTTCAGTGCATGTTTCTGTCTGGTCCATTTGCCAGCTCTCCTTCCCTCCCAAACACATCTGTTCCTATGCTAAAAGGAATTTTTGCATCTTATATGTGCATTGCATAACACCCACCAAACCCTGGTTTATCACCTTGCTATTACTAGATTTTACACTCAGTCAAAGTATTAACTAAAATTAGAAATAGTTTATTGAATTAGAGCTAAAAATCTGAATTTTTAGCAACTGAGTGGATAAGGTCACAGTGTGTATTAAAAGCAAATCAGTTTCTGGCCTGGAAACTGAGTAATTCCACAAAGGAGAAATATAAAGAGGTGGAAATTTGGGATATCCATGGCAGCTCTTTGCTCTGAGCTCAGCTGGAAGTGTGGCCTTTGTTTAAACCCACAGTGTAAGTAAATCAAATCAGCTTTTATTGCCAAGGAACACACATCACTGCTGGTTAAACCTGCCTGGTGTCTATAGGTCACCTCTCTCCCATGCCCTTCACCTCTTTAACCAGGTCCTAGTAAATCCATTCAAAGCAAGCTGGTCATCTTTTCACCACACAAAAGTACTTCAATGAGTAATACAAAAGTGCCTGGAGAGAAATTAAATAGAGTAATAATTTACAACTTAAATGTATCACAAATTATTTAGAAAAAGATTGTTTTCTGTTGCTTTACTAGAAGTATACCAATAAATAAAGTTTATGATACGAATTAGGGAGCATATTTTGAATTTTTTATTTATGGGAGTAATAGTGTTTGTTTTGAAGTAAATAAAGAAGCCAAATTGTTGCAGGAAGATAATTTTAATTAGGATTATTAATGTTGCTGTTAAGTAGCTGAAACTTTAAGGACTTCAAAGTCATAAAATGTACTTAATTAATCAAAGTGTGTGTTTTCATGCTGAGGCATCTCGTGCATACAAAGTGAATGTCACACATCTTCAGAACAAATTTTCTATCCCTGATTGAAGACTCTCTCACCATTATTTGTCAACCCTGTGTTCAGCACAGACCCAAACACAGCCCCACACCAGCCCCTGCAAAGAGAATTAAGCCTGTCCCAGCCCAAACCAGCACAGACCTGCAGCAGCACTTGGTTCTCATGGAAGACACTGGGAATCTTGATCTAAAACTTCAGCACATTCAGTCCAAAAATGAAGGACAGTGCTATGAGAGTTTAAGTGAATTCAGTCCTGGATTTAAACTTGGATAGCCTGTGTCCTTTGTTAAGCATAAACTGCCAAATCTTACAGCTGCTTCAAATGGTTCTTACAGCCTGCTGAATATCTTTTAAAACTGTCTCTTTGTGCCTTGCTGTAGGATGTATGAAGGATGTCAGATTTAACAACTACAGAATCCCTCTGGACACTCAAGGGAAGGAGCTGGTGTCAGTACTGAGTGCCCAAGGCATCAAAGAAGGCTGTTCTTCGGAGGCCTGTAGGAATAACCCTTGCAACCAAGAATTTATTTGTATTGATTTGTGGATGATGCATGAATGCAGGTAATTGGTGGAAATAGAAGCACAAAACCCTTCAGAATGAGGTGGGAATGGGTGGATGTTGAAGTGTGCAGCTTGAAGGCTGGCACTGGCAATCTCATCAAATCCCTGGAGCCACAATGGCACACAAGGCTGGACACCTGCACAGCGAGCAGGATACTGTGTCCTTAGAGACACCAGCACAGCTGATGTAATCAGCCTGCTTCCAGGGGTTGTGGAGCAAATTCAGCTGCCTGTCTAATGGAAAACATTTAAAGAGCAGCAGCAAATCCAGAATGCTTGTAAACCCTGGAACCAGGACAGCAGGGTGTGTGAGCTGGAGTGGCACAGCTCCCTGGCTGTGCTGTGAAGCTTGTTTGCTGTGCAGTGTCAATGCTTTCTCTTGTCAGGGTCTGATTTCTTGTACTGCCCCAGGCTGCTGCCTCTGTTCCCTCCCAGGCTCCTCCAGCTGCTTTGGGAACACCACACTATTGAGCTCAGATTCCTGTGCTTGTGCCTGGGGTCAGGACAACGCTAATTCCTGTGGTGTGCAAATGAACACTTTACTTACATTCACCTTAATGTTTGCACACTTTTCTGACTGCCACTGTCCACACAAATGGAGTTCTCTAACTCTGGAGACTCAAAGAACATAGCACAGCTTGTCCTGCCTTGCCAGAACTGCAGAGTGGCAAGTCACAAGGATAATCAGCTGGCTGTCACAAGGATAATCTTTCAGAAAGCAGTGGAAATACCTGAGTTCTGAAAGCCCTGATATAAGGGTCTGAAGTTGTGGAGCTCATGCTACAGCTCCCTCAGGACAGGCTATGACCTGTCATGATTTCACACAACTCACTCCCAGAGGCTGCTTCAGAAACTGTGCAAAAAGTGTGTTTTAAACCCTCAGTGCTGCCTGTCCTGGCTGTTCCCTCTCACAATAACCATTCTGCCATTTTGCCCCGGTGTGTGCAGCTGCCCTGCAGGCCACATGATCCTGGAGAACGCCTCGGGCCGGCAGTGCGTGTACACGGCGTGCGCTGAGCGGCCCTGCAACGACGGCACCTGCGTGTCCCTGTCCCCCAGCACCTTCCAGTGCCACTGCCCCGACGGCTACAGCGGGCGCCACTGCGAGGTCACGCTGGCCATCTTCCACAAGGACACCGGCCTCAGCTTCACCTCCCTCTTCGCCATCTGCGTCTGCTTCCTGGCACTCCTAGGTAGCTACGGCAACTACGTCCTGTACTACCTGTGGTGAGGCACGTGTCCACCTGTCCTGAGCGGCATTGCTTCATCTCCTGCTGAAAATCCCCAGGGAGACCCAACTCTGCCTTTGCTCCTTTGCCCTCATCCCATCACTGATTTCTCATCCCTCTGTGCATCCATCGCTAAGTGAATCAACATTTGTGAGCTGTGGAAGGGCTCTGCAGTTTTGTTTTCTTCGCATTTTCACGTCATTGCTGAGGAACTGTTCAGATGCATAATTGAACAGCAAGAGTGGAAATTGCTATCAGATAAGCATTGTTTAAAATACTGCTGAGTATGAAACAGATTTTTCAGTCTAGGAGAAACTTCTTGTCTGATAGGAATACACTGGTAAGGAAGGAGCAAACTTTGCATCTTGCCAGTTGTGTCCCAGCTCCTAAACAGCTGGTTTGGTTTTCCTCAGCCATGTCCAGGCTTAGGTATTTGATCTAAAGAGGAAAACCAGCAGGATGTTACTAGTGAGAAAGGATCACATCTTGGAGTACTGTTTATTCAAATGTTATGAAGTTTGCCTGAGTAAAGACAGAGGATTTTTCTCCGGGCTGTTAGCATTGAGGCAGTTTTGTTCAGAAGTTGCAGTAAGAGTATGGAAATACCATAGTTTTCCCCAGCTCTGCTAGATACTATGTTTGCCATGCAAACATGAGCAGTAAATTTGTGGGAAGCTAAGTGGTATTGCAGCTCTTGGAATCCCAGATAGCTGAGGTTAATAATAAATCTCTATATTACAGGAGAGCAGGGCATGATCTCTGTGTACCCCAGTTTCAGTCCCAAGGTCTTTTAGATGCTGCTGCACAGAACTACTGCCATGTAGATACTTTGTAAGAGATTCTAGTTTCTTTAGTTCACTGCACTGCTAATTTATGGTACTCAATGCTTTGAGGTCTTACTCTGAGCTTTTATTGATTTTTATAGAGTTGGTAGCACAGTGATACACAAGTTTCTACTTACAGAATGTTCAGTATCTGATGTTGAAGCTTGTCAGTTGTGTAAATGCACTTCAGCATTTAAGAAAAATGTTTAAATTAATGAATGCTAAGGCAAAATGTGCCTGATTCTTGTTTTCTAGTAAAAACATCTAAAAGTAATTTCCTCTTCTGTCTTGTGTCTTCTTGTGTTTCGTTTGTGTGTAATTGTCTGTTACTGTCAACATATTATTTCTTTGTCCGCCCCTGTAATGCATGTTCTGTAACAGAGTTCAACTCCACACAGGACAGAGACAGGTCAGAGACACCACTTGGTCTTTAACCAACTTCGAGTTGGGCTTTAAAGGGTGTTGCAAAATGTTCTTAAAAGGCTTTTCTTCGTCTGTGTTTGATGTTCACCACACGGGACAGTGCAAAGCCCAGGCATTTGGTAGGAAGGCCCTGCTGTGCACGGGGGTTCTGGTGCCTGCATCACCTGTGCTCTGCTCCTGTGTCCCACAGCCCTGCTCAGCGCCGCCTTCCTCTGTGCTCACTGGAGGACGCGCAAGGCTCTGCACGGAGGCGTTTACCCCGGATCTGCTCACCCCGAGGATCTGGAGGACATCAGGGAAAACATCCTCAACTACAACGAAGAAGGGGGTGGGGAGCAAGATGAAGTAAGGATCACTGTTATGTTACAATTAAGAGGGCACTGGTGTCTCACCATGCTAAGGAGAATGCATTTTGTGCTCTGCCCTCAGTCTTCATTCTGCTGATTCAGCCCTGCAAGTGGCAAATGAATTATTTGGATGAGGGTGCATGTTTCCTAAGCAGAGATAAGTGCTTATCTATTTTTAATTTGTTTTAGAGCCAATAACCCTGAGTGCATGTTGATAGGAGCCTGTAGGGTGAGTTTAGCAGCAGGGAACAGCTGCTGGGTTTGGTTTTTGGGGCTCAGGAGACACTGAAGTTCTCAGGGCTCATTCCTGCTGGAGCTCCAAGGGCTTGGAAGAGCCTGGTGTGAGTGTTGCTCATGGCCAGGCTTTTCCAGACCCTGCTCCCAACAGCAGGTGTTCACACCTCCCTTGCTGGGAAGGGGAGGTGCTGAATTGGCTCCTCTGAGGCCCTGGAGCATGTGGTGGTTGCGGAAGTACCATTCTGCATTTTTGTGTTTTGAGATAAACAGCTTGTGTTCAGTGGTGTATTTATGCTTAGAGCAGAGCAGATTATGCCCAAAGCAGGTATTATTAACACTCCTGCTGGCTGTTCTGAGGTTTTCATGTGTCAGTGAGAGGCAGAGCTTGGAAGGAAAATGGTGAATATTATAAACAAGTACTCTTAATAGATTATTTATTGACCTATAGATGAGTTCTATATTTATAAAAGGTAGGAAATGTCATTGCCAACTGATCATTTCATGGATTCAGGGGGTGGTGTGACTCTGCAGAGGTAATAATAGTCATGGTACCAGTGTGAAAGCCAAAAAAAGCCAGTGATTTAAAAATATTCTCACTTGCAGAGTATCCTTATTTTCCTGGTGAATTAGTGGGAACGTAATAAACACAGACATTTCCCATGTGATAACATAGACAGCTCTAAAGCCTGTTTTCCTTAATCAGATTAACTTCCTCTGCAGTATTTTGCAATTTTACACCCAGAAGGTCTCTTTGAGGAAATCTACAGTTACTGTATGACATGTTTAATTACTTTTGGAGAGTTCTTAAAATGCACTTCTTATTTTAAGCATTGGAACCAAATTAGTGACTTGATGATCTCCATCTGAGGTTATTACTCTGCCTGAAGAAACAGTGCTTGGAGTGAAGCCTCTCTGGGTTCTGTGTACTCTTCCTAAATTATTCAGATTTAACAGTTGCTGGGACTGCAGCTGAAACTTTTTATGGTAAAACCTAGTTGTTTGTCTAGATTTAAAAAACCCAAACAAACTAGCCCCCAAATACCTAGAATTACACCACCTTAGTTGTGTTCTAATGTTACTTCAACAAAAGGATCCTGCTTGGATAAGTTTCATTTTTGTAATGTTTGTGGATGGTAGGGCTATGAGGACAAGGGGTTGTCATATGAAGGAGTTTCTGCATCTGAAATAAATAAAGTTTTCCCCCAGAGAAATTAGGAGCTCATAAAAATTGTAGGAGGTCAGTGCATTGTTGATTACAGACTGAACACAGCTGACCACCAGATGTTAAAAACCAGCTCTGGACCCAGGGGCAGGGCTTGAGCTGAGTTTGTGGATGGCCAGCCAAGAAGGGTTTATTATCAGAAGAAATGTGTCATTTTAATGAACAATTAGTAGCAGTGAAGGATGCTTTTATTATCACCCAGTTCAGTGAGGGGAGGATCCTCAAGTCTGTATTGGAACAACTCCCACTTGTGCACGATGCAAAGTTGCTCCATGTCACGGATTCTCCTGGTCTCCCTGCTCAGAGTGGGGCTGGACTGGGGTTCACACTAACTCAGGACGTGCCTAAGGCAGGGATCTGGGCTGCAGGTCTTGGTGTTCATCACCTGCTCTCCTAAGTCTCTGGAGGAATGGGAATCAGCAGCTCCTGTCCCAAACCCCATCCTGCCACTTAGGCAGCTTCTTGATTGCAGGTGAGGGGAATTTAGGTTGTTCTCAGCCTCCAGGGGAAATGCAGCAAAGCTCACTTGAGATTACCTCGGTTAATCTCATGATTATGCACAATGCCACATGCTGGACAGCTAAAGAAGTGCTGATTCCACACCTCTGTCATGGATGGCTCCTGTTACCATGAACAGTATTAGCAATACAAATAATTATTTGTTTGCTCTAATGAATTCTGTCTCCCTCCACCTGTCTGCATTCTGCTTTGGCCTGTAAATCAGTCCAGGGACGCAACCTTTGGTTGTAGGGAGGCGAAGGATGCTGGGGACAGGACTTGTTCATTGCAGGTGGCACAAAGATTCTGATCACTGAATGCCATTAACTGCTGGCATTGGCAGCTTTGTGCCAGAGGCTGTGGCACAATTCCCAGACAGCATTTACTGCAGCTGAGCTGGGAGGGAATTAGTGACTTTTTTGGGAGTAAGTAGTTTTTGGCTTTTACAATTGTGCCACTGCCATGTAACATAATTAGGGATTATTCCAGAGACTGGTAAAATTTTATCAGAAATCACAGTACATTTTTGAACTACTACTGCAGAAAGATTTCTTTAACATGCTGTTTGTGAATAACATGCTGTTTCTTACATCTTCTGCCACACTTGTGGGATCAGTGTCCAGTCACGATAAGACACTTTGGATCTGAATTTCAGAACAAAAGCTGGGGGGTTTCTGTCATGTTTATTTAGCTTTAGGATGAAATCAGAGTCGATTCTGAGCCTGCCCGCAGCAGTGCAGAGTGCACAGGTGTTCCTCAGGCTTCCTCGGGTGCATGGCAGGTGCCAGAGCTGGCAGAACCCCCAACCCTTCAGGTGCTCACAGCGGACAGACTGACTCGCCATCCTTCCTTCTCTATTCCCACCGGAACACGAACTGTGGGACCTACAGAGAGTATTAACTCGCTGTGTCCCGTCTCTCCCCGCAGGACGCCTACAACATGGCAGAGCTGCAGGTGTCCATCCAAGGCAGCCCGGCGTACTCCGCGCACAGGAGGAAGGAGCCGCCGGCCGCCGTGAGGGCGCGGCGCGGGCCCGCGGGGGGCGCGGCGCTGGGCCGGGCGCTGCCCGCGCTGCTCAGGGAGGCCGAGAGCCGCGCCCCGGGCCCGCCGCAGGATTCCCTGCGCGTCTTCTGCACCGAGGGCGCCGGCTCCAGCGCCGGCAGCCTCAGCTCCCTCAGCTCCCTCAGCTCCGCGGGGCTGGGCGGCGGCGCCGGCGAGGACATCCACGAGTGGGGACCCAAGTTCGAGAAACTGAGGGAGCTGTACTCGCACAGAGAGGCGGGAGACCTGTAGCTCCCCAAGGCTGCTCTTTGCAGGTCTGGAAGCAGAGGTGAGGCACGGTTTTCTATATTCCTGCTCTGTATTACCTCCACCCGGCCTTTTTATCTTGGTACAACAGGGATTCATATTCCCACTAAGGAGGCACATTGGTTTTTTATACTCCCGCTCTGTATTTCCCACACCCGGCCTTTTTATCTTGTTACAACAGGAATTCAGATTCCCACTAAGGAGGCACATTGGGTTTTTTATACTCCCGCTCTGTATTTCCCACACCCGGCCTTTTTTCCTTGTTACAACGGATTCAGATTCCCACTAAGGAGGCACATTGGGCAGCAAAGGTGGGTAGGAGCTCACCTTGGCACATGCTGGACTTGAGCATTTTGGTGTATAAGCCTACTGGGAGGAATAAAGAGAGAATCTAGGGTATGCAGTTATTCACATACTGTGGTTAAGAAGTACAGGTCTTTTATATCACTGAAGTAATGCAGGACTCTTGAGGGATCCAGTGCACACGGCCTGAGGTGAGCTGGAGCTGAGGGAAGCATGCTGGATGTGCTGTCTGGTGCTTTGACAGTTATTTGAAGAAAAAACCACTTTGTCTTTTTCTCATATAATGAAGTCCATGGTGTATTATATCCCTCTTTGTTTCCCACAGTGCCCAGTGACAGCCCTGCTCACTGATCACAGTGCAGCTGCCAGTCCAGGGGTACCGGAAGGGAAAGAAGCAGAAGGATAACTGGAACTTCACTTACACTGTGCTGAAATCCCTTTATGCTGCCATACAAAGGCAGAAACTGGATTTAGGCATAACACAAGAACCCAGCTGCTTACAACTACATAATTTTCCTAAGGAAAAGGCCAGGTGTGCTGGCTACATGCCTCAAAGGGGGCTGGTCAGGAATTTCAGTAGCAAACACCACAGTACATCACAATCTCTCATTCCTAGTGAGCTGCTAAACTGAGCCTAAACCAGCCTGAACTGTGCCATTTGCATCTACAACTGTGTCCCTCATGTTTCCTTAAATTTCTTATGATAGAATCATTGCAGGACATATCTGAGGACAGAGAAACATGGGGGAAAACTAACAGCAGTAGCAGGGGGTGGAATTTTATGCTCTAAATGAATCAGTCCCTTTTAGAAACCATTTAATGTCCAGCTGCTATGACTGATTTTTCTTAAACTTGACAATATTTGGAAAAGGTGCCACTAAATTAATTTTGATTTCTTTTTTTTAAATTGACACCACTTGTACAGATAAATGGAGTACAATGCAGCAAAACCTAAATCTTAAGCTGTGCTATTTCTTCAGTGTATATGTGTATTATATCTATTATAATATGTAAACTATATGTAATATGTACATTATATATTATGAGCTAATAATAGGAATATATCCTAGTTTCTAATAATGTTTCATTAAAACAAAGCATGAAACAATGTACTGTAACAGCCACTGAAACTGCTTTGCTCAGTAGCTTGTTTTGGGAGGTCTGGCTTTTATTTTTATACATCTATTAAAACCCCTAAGTAGGTGAATGCTGTGTGCAGGCCAGCTCAGTTTGCATGTTTCCCAAATGTTCACACACTACCTTGTTCTCATGTGCACTTGTGCCACTCTCTGGAAAAGCCTGAGTGCACCATTAAGCACTGTTACACACTGCAGGTGCTGGGCATTGTCCTCTGGAAAACCTAAATCCAGTTTTTACTCACACCCAATGGTTTTGGTTCACAGACAGTACAGTCTCTGTGATTTTGTGATCTTACTGACACATTTATTTGCCTGGGAGGAAACCTTGGCTGAAACATCTTGCAGTGTTCACCAGGCCAGTCTGCCAGCTCCTGTATTCCATCATCTCAGCAGTCACAAACAGGGTATGGTAAATAAACTAAATATATATAATATGCACAAAAATCTGTTCTTTCCTGAAGCAGCAGTAAGTTTGTCTTCATACCTTGTGTTGTTCCCATAGCTATGGACATGCTGGTGCTTTGGCTGGTTTTAATTTAATTTAGCCTGTAAGCTCCTTGGGGCCAACACTGTCTTTGTTTGCCTGTGGAGTGTCCTGCCTATCTCAGGCACCATATAAATAATAAACCAGCCTTCTGTCCCGGGTGTCTGTGCCTTGTTTGTGTTTAAGGATCACTGAAGGGTGGACTCTGCTGAATTATTTCTCTCTCAGTTGTGATCAGATGTGAGTCATGGGTGCTGTGCCACCTAAAAACCTTCTGCTGGTGGGCTCAGGATCCAGTTACCCACCCAAAAACCACTTTGGGTTTCCCCAGGGGAAGGAGCCTCACCAGAGCTCTTCCTCCACCCCTGAGGAACTGGGTCAGAGGGACAACAAGCACAAGTGGTGCCCAGGGGCCCTAAAGGTGACAAACATGGGGCACGCAGAGATGTTCAGGTGGCTCAGTGCTGTTCCAAATGTTGCTGCCCTGCTCTGTAACCAAACATGGAAACAGCCCCAGAGCCTCGGGGCTGCCTCTGCACTGTGAGCCCCACCTTGCACAGAACAGGAGAGACTGAAACAAAGGGCAGGAAACATTTCCAAACTCCTCCAGGAGCCCGTGTCGATACAATCTCAGTAATAGGACACACTCATTTGCAGCTGTCATGCCCTATTAAAGCCTACTCTTCCTCTTTCCAGAGATAACTAATTAGTTCACTTAATTTATCTGTTTTAATTTGCATGCTGCTCTTTTAATTACTGTGCAATTGCTGAAATCATATCCTCACTTGTTCTGCATTTGCACAGGCACACACAAATATTTCAGTGCCTCTGCAGGAAGGCTTATCCCAGCACTGCCCTGGCTCCCAGGGAGAACAGCTGGCTTTCACAGAAAGCTCTGGGTCAGGGGGGAAGGAAAAATATTGAATAAAAAAACCCCATTGGGTCCCTAGGTAGTGGGATTTGCAGTAATCTAGTACTTTTATTAATCTTCTTCCATGTTCTTTACAGACTTTAAACATATAGCAAGAACATTTTATTTAGCATAAAATGTTTGTAAAGGTCTGAAATTTAAATAATCATGTGGATATTAGTATTTAATCTGGCTGCCTGTCAACTACATTAATCTTGGTGTTCTTCCCCTGTTAAAATAACATTCCAAGTACATAACATGGAGCCAAGCCATAGGAAAGCTGATTGCCCTGAGGGCTGACCTACTGACCAGCAGGTTTAGGAGGGAAAACAGGGCTCTAAAGAAGCAGGATTAGGTGGGCAGAAGAAAGTTGAGCATTTTCTTAATTACAAGAATGCTAAAACCCATGGCCATCTCCTGGGGATTTCCAGGAGGAGGTTCCCTGGAGCACAGAATCCCCTCTCGTGTGGCTCACATCCCATCAATTACATGAATCTCTAATTAATGCTGGTGACAAACTCCCCCCAGCCCCCTTTAGACCAGTCCTGTACGTGGGCAGTTTTATCTCCAGCCCTGCACTTCCTGCAGCTCCTGCCACAAGAGTCACATCAGGACATCCTCCTGCACATACAGAACTTGAAATGTGCTCTGCACCCCCAAAAAATGCACCTTTCTGTTCATTAAAAATATTAAACCTGAGCTACAGTGTGGAAACAAGCAGGTCCCTGGTGGTCAAAGCATTTCATGTATCATTTTACAGTGATATAATACACATAATAAAGAAAGAAATAATATTTATTTACATGGATATACTGCCTCAGTCTACTGACCTTACTGGAGCTGACATGCATGGGGTGATGACTGATAAAAATCATGGCTGTACCTTTAGCTTCTAACAAAGGAAGCCCAGCAAGCTGTTAAAACACAAAGGTGATTTCAAAAGTCAGTGCTATACACAATATAATGAGCTTGAAAAGCCAAAACTTGCTTGGGAAAAATATTTTGCTTTCCTCCATATGGACTGAAACAAAGCTGATTTCCAAACCAGGTCTTACTCAGCCTATCCCAACATATAAACAAGCAAAAAAAGAGACTTTCAAATTACACAATTTATTTAGTATACAATAATCATTACATCTCTTTACAACAACATATTATAAAATAACTATGTTAGATCCCACCAGCAGAACACTGAAACAAGAAATTAAAATACACTTCTGGATCTCAAAGGCTTTTCTCTCCTAAAAAAGCCCTGGCTCCTTGATAGCATTTTGTCTCTGCAATCTAAAAGCAGTAATTGGTACCGCAATGGCACTGAGCACACACACAGAGTCCTTGTGGCCAGCAAGGAGCAGCCAGGAGGAGCCTGGGGAGCCTCAGGAATGGAGGTGCAGCTTCTGCCCAGGCCTGGCTCAGCAGGGCAGGGAGGAGCTGGCACCTGCCCTCTTGGATTTGCTGTCTGAATGCTGCACTGCAGTCCCTGGAGTAACCCTTGGTGTCAAACCTTTCTGGTTATCTCTCATAATGCATCTTTCTGTATCAAAAACCCCAAACAAACCAGACTGCACTTGGTAGTGTCCATGAAAATTTCTCCTTTGGCAATATTAGAAACTGCATTTTTGAAAAAAGTTTGTTTAAAAATAATGACAGTTCTAGTCAGGATTTCTTAGTCTCAGCTGTTACTACAAGTAAATTGTGAAGACAAGAGGCCATCAGTGGGCCTGGGAATCCCTCCCCTCCACCAAAGGGAAGTCCCTGCACCTTTGCAGAGAGATCCAGCCTTACAGCCCAGACATCCTTCACCTCCTGTGTGCTTGTTTTCTGCTACTGAAGGCACTCACTGAGGGATTCACTGACCCAGGCTTGCAGCAAGAACCATGCATCATTACAGGCCTAATTAAAGTTTTAATACTGATTAAAATGTTTTATTATTGTATTATGTTAAACTGCAGTGGTCTCCAACCTCATTAAAGGATACAGGCTAGGAATTAGTCAGGAGTTTCAGCTGCTCAGTGTAACAACCCAGCTCCTGTCAGTATGTGATTTACCACAGCCTCCTGTGCCACAGAGAAAGGCAGAAGGATGTTGAACATTGTTTAATGAGTATTTACTGAATATAAAATTGTTTGAGCATGTGACATAACCATCTCCATCTCTTTGGTAATTTACCTTGGTACAGCTGAAAGGGAAAACACTTGAATCATTTGGAATTGGAGCCCAGCTCAGTTGTGACAGCTAATCTCATTACACATCTTGATTAAATTAAATGGGGAGTGTGCTATCTGTAGCACTTTAAGTTTCCCATCATTAGAAATTAATTGCAGTGGTAATTACTATAACTGAGTTATTTGCACAGGCCACAAACAGTCTTATAGGTGTTCAAATGTTAATTCAACCTGGGCCTAGAGGCACTTGATTATTACAATTCTGTTTTTCTTACAAACAAATGAGCCTAGTGGATGTCTAATTCAAGATGGAGAGGCTTCCAAATTTGATTTTTGATTTCAATCTAAAACCAAAGCAATGCTAAAAACACAGCAAAAGTTATATGGTACCTTCAGAACATTTAGAAATCCAATACAAAGCACAAAGTTCAGGCTGGTAAAAAGACAAAGAGTACAAATAAACCACAAAATTCTCAGCATTGAGGTTTGGCTTCACTTAATCTTCCACATCATTTTAAAATACTGGTAGTCTCTGTTTTAGGCTAAAGAAAAAGGACACAGTGATTTTGTGCTAAAATATAGAGCTTTGTGTCTGAAATAATACAAAACAAAGCTCTACTCTCTCAATGTATTTGAAATACTGGTTTCCTGCTGCTTTAGAGATGAGTTTTTCTTTTGCCCAATTTTGCTATCCTAGTGGGATTCATACAAGGAGAAAAAGGATCCCCTGTAGCTCAGAAAGTATATACAGGAAAATGTTCTGAGAATCCAAACTGAGAAATTTGGATTTCTGTTTGTTCTGAGTATTTTACAAGGATACAAACATGCAACATGTATCAAGCATGCTCCAGCCTTTTTTCTCACTAAAAATACATAACACTCCATCATTAAACACTTAACGTTATAAACCAGTTCGTTTCTGATCACTAAAAATGCTGGACCAAAGATTATTTTTCTTCAAAATTGTTTCCTTAATCCACTCTCACTGATTCTGCAATCACACTCACAAAATTGGAAACTCATATCCACATACATTCCCAAAGAATTCAGAAAAGAGGCACTGAAAGAGCACAGGGATCTGTCAAAAAGGATCAGACTGTAAGACAAAATTTCATTTTGTGACTATGTTTAGGATTCACAAAGGCAATGCTTACTCAGGGCTGCTCTCACTGAATTTCTACCATTTGAGAGGAAAATCTGAACTGCTGAGCAGATTCACAGGCTGGCACTCAGCAGTGCTCCTACTGCTGCCCTTGTCTTCCAATCAGTTAAACTGGGAAACAATTACAACCTAACTATTCTGAGGGTCAGAATTTAAATCAAAATGGTCCCTACTAGCATTTATTTATGAAAATGTTGGCAACATCAATAATGTTATCAAAATTAAACTGTCTTAAAAAAGAATCACAGTAATTAAACAAAACACCATTGGTGAAAAATGTCTTACAAATGTAACCTGTTTGTAAACTTCATCTGCATTTCCTAATGTGGTCCTAGCAGTGAAATACTGAACTTGAAGTCATGGTTGGAAATGTTATTTATGCTTGGCAAGTTTGTAAACGTGGAATGTTTTGTTCTGAAACACTCTGGTGAAGTGCATGGTGTAAGAAGGAAGGTTTTTTTTAATTTCCTCACAGAAGCGAGGATACAACGAAGGTTTCAAATCAGGTTCGTTGTCTCCCAAGCCATCCATGATCTGCAATGAAATGGAACAGATGGGTGAAATTTCTTCAGCCAACTCACAGTTCCAGGCAATAACAAGTTCATAAAAACCTTCACAATACATTCACTGGGTCAGGCTGGCCGGGTTTGTTCACAGTATGAAACAAGTGGGAGGAAGAAAACAGCTTTAAAGCAGTAAGACTTGTTGTCTCTAAATGGATGAAGCTGCTTTGTCAGGGTCCAGGTCTGCTTGGCCTTGTGCAGCCCCAGAACTGCCTGAGAGCTCCCCTGACACTGAGTGGTACCAGAACCACACCTCAGGGAACTGAAGATCTGAAGTGATTTACTGAAGGGAAGCTGCTCTGCTTGTGTGCTCCTCACCTGCACCTCCACAGGAAATGATTTCTTACCCTGCTCAGGCTGAGATTCCCCCTCTTATTCCCAAATACCCTTAAGAGCAAGCAGTGTGAATCTGGCCATTTCTAAAGGCCCCAGCAGGTTTTCCTTCCCACAGTGCTTCTCTCAGGAGCTGTGTTTCAGAGGCAGGCCAAGCTCTGCTTTGTCCCTGGCTCAGTGTGTCACACTCACGTGGCCGTTGGCGAC